GGCTAGCAGAGCTAAATATAGGTCAAATGCTCTAATGTGCTAGCGGGCAAAACTTCCAGTATTGTTAAAGAGGTGATCAAATCTAGATTAAACTTCACTAAGAATGATTTCTTCCCTTAGCATTGTAAAAGGCTTTCGAGACTTGTAAGGCTGTGCAGGCTTCTCCCTCATCTTCAGAGATGCAAAAGGCAGAAAGCCCTTTGTGAGCTAAATTGAAAGATGAACATTTACTGTACCTGAAGATTTTTTTTGGCAGGAATTCCCCTGAAAAGTGAAATGCTGGGAGGCTACAGCAGCTGCAATCTACTGCCAGCAGTGAGAAAGTTTTTTGTAGGAGCATATTAAACTCCAGCTCTTCTAATGGAAGGTTTCCCTGCCCATGGCAGGGGGATTGGAACTAGGTGATCTATAAGGTCCCTTCCAACTCAAACGTTCTATGATATTCTATGAAAGAACACCAGCCTCAAAAAGGAGGAAAAGAAAATTTAAAGCTTAAGGACATGAGGATTCTTGCTTGGTTGTGTAGTTTTAAGTGCTGTGCAGGTAGGGAGCGAGTGACTAAGGAACTCAAGACCAAGGGATTTTGTAGAAGCATGTCAGTACCTAAAAAGTGAGTGATGGTGGAGCAGCAGAGCTGCTTCAAAGCGGTGAGCTAAAAGGCAAGGCTCCTTCTAGCCTAAGCTTTAGCTTTTCTTTCTTTCCTGAGGACCTTCTTATGTATGTGACAGAATTGAGCCTGAAAGATTGACTTAGTTGTACAGAATGGCTTAAGTCATTTATTTTTTTTTACTGACTTTGCCAATAGCCCCATGTTGCTGAACTGAGGGTAGCTTTGTCAGAGTGATGCTGTCAACAGCCTGGCCAAAGAGGCTGTCGCAAGTAGCTACTGACAGCCCTGCTGGCATGCAGCTTACCAGAATGACAGGAGCAAGAAGAACTTGTAAGTATCCTTTTCCTGATGGAAACTGCTCAGATTTGTGTGGGTCTGACCAAAGGTGTGTGGATTTTTTTTTCTCAGTCTGCCTTAAACTTGTTGCTGTCTCAGTGGAGCTATTCCATCTGATCTGCTAGACAGAGAAATTGGGACCTTGAATGTGCAGTCAAGGAAACTTCTGCAGCCTTAAATGCCAGTTCCTGTGAAGCAGGCCGTGTGTGGGCAGCGGGAGCTGTAAATATTCATGGCAAGGCAGAGGAAAGCCTGAATGCTGCTGAGCTGTGGAAGAATGTACAGGCAAGCAAGATAACGAGGCTGCTGAGCTGGAGCAGATATCGACCCGTGAATGATGGAGCAACTGGATTTCCGTGATGGCCTTACATGGCTCCTGCTTCAGCCTTGAGGAAGGGTTCATATGCCTGATAGCTTGTCAGGTTTTTTTTTTTCCAGCTATAGCATTGGGTCTAATAAAAGATATTACCTCTCCCTGCAGCCACGGCCTCTTATATTCCCCATACACTGCAAACTTGGTGAAAGAGGGCCTCAAGGGGCCCTGCCTTGTGTGGTGTGGGGCTTCTTAAAACTGCTTTAATGTAGGAAACGTGTAAATAAAGGGTGTCTCGGAGCTGAATGTCAGTCACAAAGGGGTTTGGTTAAGGCTTCAAGAAAGAAATGGGCAGATGACAGCTTGTCCCACTAGAGTGGAAGTGGGGGAATCGAGTTACAGCAACGGAGCAGTAGATCAGGATTTAACCAAGCTCTAGCACGTGCCTTTAGCATTGGGGTAGGATGACAAAGTGGTGTAAAATCTGTGTTCTTTCCGTGTGTGTTTTGTAACTTTGGATTTTGTAACTTTTGTTTTTTAAATATTTGTTTGTTTTTTCTTAAATGTATTCAAAACTCGCCACCCTGGCCTGCTCATAAAGCTGATGAGTGGGGCCAGGTATAATCAAGTAGAACTTCACCCAGCTTCACTTCTACTCTAACCTCTCTGCTCTTCTTCTAAATTCTGTTTCTGTGAAGTAATTCACTGACCTCGGACTAGAACAGGAGTTAAGCCGCGATATTTCCTGGACTTCATCTTGAAGAGTGGCTGTGAGTTGGAAGCTGTTAGCTGGTGAAGGAGATTGTTATTAAAAGCCTTGATTACACTCTCAGAGCCTCAGTTCTCATTCATTTCTCCCCGGGGGTATCTTGGGGACTGTTGGCACTGGCCTGCTGGGTGCAAACAAACCATGCCTGGCACCAGAGGTGCCCTGACCCTCTGCAGAGTGGTTGCAGGACTCACTCCTGCTCTTTCCATCCCCGTGGCTCTGTGCTTGGTCCATCCTGGGGCTGCTGCGTTGCTCCGGGAAGGTTTTCCTTTGCCTGCCGGGACTTTCCCCATCACCTTCCTCTTGTGCCTGGCACCCAGGATCACCGCTCGCCCAGGGAAGTCCGGAGTGCTGATGGAAGCAGTTAAACCCTTGCCCGCGTGTCTGGGTTGGCCCCGCGGGGCCGGGGCAGCCGGTTTGTGTTACAGCGTGCGGCCGGGGCTCAGGTGGGGCCGTCGACCTGCTCGATTTAGCCGAGGTGTTGAGTTTCCTGGAGCACGGACGAGCCTTGGCCCGGCGCAGGGAGCCTTCCTTGCCCATGAAAAAGCGTAAAGGTTAAAGTGTGCTGCTGCAGTTGTGACAACCCAGTAGCTAGGGAACGGGCGTGCTTGATGCTGAGCCAGCTCGCCCCAGGACAGCCTGTTTTCCAGCTGCAGGCAACGCAGGCTCTGGCTCGAGCTGCTGAATGGGGAGGGAAAACACCTCCCAGCCTGGGAAACCTGCGTGGTGGCTGCTTTGCTTCCGTGCTCCGCAGGGCTCTGGGCTGGTCATCCAGGGGCTTTTTGAGGCAGCGTGTCCCAAATCCTGGTGTGCAAAATCCCGGTGTGCAGGCTGTTCCTTGTGGGAGGATTATCTTTGTCCAGCTCCTTTCCCTTTGCCTGCAAATGTTTTTCCCTTAAGAGCACCAAACCACCTCTTCCTTCACCCTCTTTTAAAAGAACACTTTTAGGGTTTAGAGGAGCCCTTTTTGGCTACCCAGCTCTGCCGTGCCTGCTCTTGGAGCTCTGCATCCTCACCTGGTCCTCAGGCAGCTTCTTAACAAGAGTTTAGGACCGAAAGCACCAGAGGAAAGCCTGCTGGGCTCCAGGGGGTGCTCTCGGTGGCTTTTGGCACTCTCAGGGCTCAAGGCACCCGTGGGCTGCTGCTCCCTCACCGAGGACTGGATGCTCTTACTGCAAGGGCAGGGAGGAGAAGGCTGGAGGAGAAATGCTGGTGAAATGATGGAGAGGTGGCCCCCAGGTGCCTGGTGTGAAGGAGCCCTGCGTGCCCGTGGTGCTCCAACCTCCACCAGTAACAGCTGCACCAGCACCCGGTTACTGCTTTGTGGGGTGGTGGAAGCGATAAATCTGCTCCTTTGTGACCCCTCTGGGTTCTCTGCTCAGTGCCTGCCCCCCTTTGATGCCTGCAGAGATCCCCGAGAGCAGAGCCAGGCTTGCTGAGGGCACGGATCCGAGCTGCGGGGGGTGCCCAGGGGCTGTTTGGGAGCCCCAGGGGTAGGTAATAGATTTTTTTATTTTATTTTTTTTTTAAAAAAGAGCCTCTGTTGTACAAAGCAGCTGGTTCTGCTCACAGCCGGAGCACAAAGGAAAAGGTTACGGCCGAGCTGGGATGGTGGGGCCCTGCCAGGAGCATTCCCAGGACCCAGCCCTGACAGCGGGGCCGGTTTGGAGGCAGAAATAGCACCGAGCCCCAGCCCTGCCAGGTTTGTTCTCGCAGATAATCGCTTCCTTAGGCTGCTGCCAGCCCAGCACCTTGCTGGGGTCGTGCAGCTGCTGGAGCAGGGCTGTGGCTTCACCCCGTCCCCACCGCTGCATCTCACCCCAGCCCAGGACCACACAGGCTTGGGGACACCGTGGGTGAAGCATTTTGGGCACCTCCCTGCCCTACCCAGCTGGGTAGGAAAGAGGAATGGGCCAGGTCCTCCAAAAGGCTGATCCTGGAGCTTTCCCCATCCAGGTTTGTATTTAAGGCTTTAACAAGCAGAAACCACAGGAGGCAGAGCTCAGCAGGAGCCCCGTCCCCCCTCATTGCCCCCCATCATCACCCGAAGCCCCTTCCCCTGCACCCTCCCCGGGGTGCCCTGGGCGAGGTGGCCGTGGCTCCTGGCCACCCCGTGGGGGTCCCAGCCCAGCTCCGTCCCCATGCTGAGCCCCCAAACCTTGGTGGTGCCCCCGCTGTGGGGCTCAGGGGGAGGCGTTTGGCCGTGCCAGGGGGTCCCCGCGGTGCTTTTGGCCCTGGGCAGTGCCCCCCAGGAGCCAGGGGCAGCTCCTGGCTGGGTGCTTTCACCCAGCGGGGCTGGCAGGGGAGGGCTGGGTCCTGTTACCCTGGGGTTCCTCCTGCAAACCTCAAATGACCACCTCCACCCCCCGGCAGAAACCCGAGAGAGAGACACACGGAGCCAGCGTGCCCTTGAGCAACGCTTTCCTCACCTTAAGTTTCAAAGATTTCAAGTAAACAAGGCTCTGCTGGCTGGGGGCGTGAGGCAAAAAAAAAAAAATAATGGTGCAGCCTTTGGGGCTGAATCATCTCCAGGCCCCAAAACCCCTCTGTGCACCTCCGGCAGGGTCTCTCGGTGCCCGTGCGCCTGCAGGCAGCCCCGACCCATCCAGCAGCACCCCTGGGTCCTTTTTTCCTCTGCCTGATCCCCAAAATATCCATTCTGATTCCCATTTCTGCCTCTCAGCTGGTTCCCAAGCGCAGCTGCAGCAGGGAGAGGGGTTGGTGCCGCGGCTCCCCGCTGACATCCCTTCTGCTTTGGGTCATGCCCACGGGCACCGCGTGGCACTGGGGGAGCCAAAATTCCCCCCCGGAGCCACTGTGCCACGCTGCTGGGGACAGCCCAGCCCCTGCAGGGAGCTGGGGGGTGCCCATGCGGGGCCACCCGGTGCCCCCCCAGCCGTGCCGGTGAGCGGTGCCCGTGCCGGCCGGCGGGAGCACGAGGAGTGGCGTGTCCTTTGAACGGGCTCCAGCAGTGACAGGTGCTGGGAAAGGGGACGCGGGACGGCTCCTGCTGGTGTAAAGGATACTCCTCTCTCCCTGCACTAATCCAGCTCCGTTACACCCAGTATAGAAGGGGCTGCTCCGGCCAGGCGCTGCCACAGCGCCGATGCTGCTCTCCTGACTGCCCTCTGCCCTGGGGACCCCAGGTAAAAGGGGCTGGGGGGGGGCTATGAGGGTGGGCAATGGGGTCCCCGCAGCCTTTGGGGTCCCTGTAGCCACCGGTCCCATGCTGGGGGCAGTGGGGTGGCCCTGGGGACAGCCAAACCCCGAAACTGGGGAGCTGAGGCTGCGGGGAGCGGGGACAGCTCAGCCTCACTCCGCTCCCTGCCCGCAGCTCTGAGCCCAGTAAAACCAGTAAGCGGCTGCCCCAGTGCCAGAATGGTTACTGGTGGGATTGTTCCCACCAGGGTCAGGATTATAGGGGCCAGGGCAGAGCCACGGTGCTGGGCTGGGGGCTGCTGCTGCCGGCCTGGAGCTGTGCTGGCACACGGGCACCCATGGGTGCTGCCCGAACCCCTGCAGCCCCTCGGTGTGGGACCCCCCAGCAGAAGGGGCCGTGCTCTGCCAGCAGCTCCTGGGGATGCTCCCCTCGCCCCCTCCCCATGTGGCCACCCGGTGTCCCCTGTCCCTCCCCGGGGGGGACGCAGCCTGCGTTTGGCACCCCGGCCGTGCCGGCTGCCTGCGCGGTGCCGTGGCAGCGACAGGTGCCGGGGTCAGGCCATGGATCAGTCACTGCACAGCAAATATCGGGGCACAACGGGGCGGTGCATGGACCTGGGGGGCCACACGGGGCCTGTCCCCGTGCCACCAGCGAGAAAACCCCCGGGGTGGAGGGAAAGGAGCCCCCCCGGGACCCCTGTTGTGCCGGAGCCTCCAGCTCGCCCCTTCTCTCCCGCAGGAGCCTCGCCGACCCATGGAGCAGGACGGTGTGGCGGGCAGCACGGCTGACACCGGGGGGGCTGGGAGCACGGCCCCCCCTGGAGCTGAGCCCAGCACGACCCCTCCTGTCCCTGCCAGCCCCCCGGACACAGAGCCCCCAGCCCAGGCTCAGGGCGCAGGGCAGGAAGAGCCCGGGAAGGAGAAGGCTGAGGCTGGTGGGGCTCAGGGTGCGGGGGGAAAGGAGCCTGCCAAGGAGGAGCCCCCAGGATTTGAGGCAAAGCCCTCGGAGGAAAAGGGTCCGGCTGCTGCTGGGGCTCAGGATGGAGGAAAGGAAGAGCCCGTGAAGGAGAAAACCCAGCCTGGGGGAGAGCCCCCCGAGGGGAAGGAGCCGGCTGCTGCCCAGGCTCAGGGCGCAGGGAAGGGGGAGCCCCCCGAGGCTGAGGCTGCAGCGGAGCCGCAGGCAGGGGACGCGGCACAGGAGAAGGGCCCAGCAGGGGCTCAGGATGGAGGCAAGGAAGAGCCCACGAAGGAGGAAGCCGCCGGTGTTCCAGAGGCTGAGGGTGGAGGAAAAGCAGAGCCCACACAGGAGGAGGCCCCGGCTGCGGCAAAGGCGCAGGATGGGGAGAAGGCAGCCGAAAAGGTGGAGGAAAGCCCAGCTGCAAAAGAGACTCAGGATGGAGGCAAAGAAGCTCCTGCGAAGGAGGAAGCCACAGCAGCTCCTGCCAAGGCTCAGGATGGAGGGGAGGAGGCTGCACAGGTGGAAAAACCCACGGCGGTGACAAAGGCTGAGGATGGAGGCAAAGAAGAGCCCCCCAAGGAAGACGCCGCGGCTGGAACCAAGGAGGAACCACGTGCTGCAAAGGCTCAGGATGGGGAGAAGAAAGAAACGAAGGAGGAAAAAACCCCAGAGGCAGCCACAGCCCAGGATGGGGGCAAGGAGCCCACGAAAGAGGAGACCCCGAATGCTGCAGAGGCTCAGGATGAAGGGGACAAAGTGGAGGAGAGCAGCAGGGAGCAGCCCCCCAGGGGCCCCGAGCCCTCGCGCCCGGCTCTGCTGCAGAGCCTGAGCTGCCCGGCCGCCTGCCAAAGGTACCCGGGGAGGGGTCCCTGGGGGCTGCCCAGCGAGCTGGTGCCCTCCGAGGAGGGGGTCCCACGGGGCCGGGTGCCGGGGCTTGGGGCACTGCTCACCTCCTGCTCCTGCTTCCAGGGAGGAGCAGCCCGGGCTGGAGGTGGCCGCGATGGAGATGATACCGGAGGAGACCGCGGTGGCACCGGCAACGGAAGGTTTGGGGGAGCCCACCCCGGCCCAGGGGGTCCTGCGGCCCCCCGAGCAGCCTGACCCCATGGGCAGCGCTGGCACCCTGCAGGAGAGGACATTGCCCGGTGCCACGGGGCAGCCCCAGCCCGGTTCGGAGCCTCCTGGGGACGCCGAGCAGCCCGGCCCCGGTGCCGCGGGGCAGCCGTCCTCGACGGAGGCAGAGCCACCCCCCAGCCCCTACCTCACCCCCGATTTTGGGAAGGAAGACCCTTTTGAGATACTGGGTAAGGCTGCGCCACCTCCCCAGCCCCCCGTGCTCTGGGCTCTGTCCTCAGCCCGGTGGCGGTGGCACCCCGGGACCACCTTTCTTGGGGTCTGCCACGTCTCCGCCGCTGCCCTCCTGGGCCGCCAGCTTCTGCTCCTGGCTCGTGGCCCACCGGCAGCCTTCGAGCTCCGGTTTCACTGTAAACAGGGCTAAATGCGGCGTGTCCCCTCCCCAGGCTTCTCCCAGCCCAGCCTGGCACGCGTGGCGCTGCCCGGGGCTGCCCGGCGGGACGCGGAGCCCGTCCTGCCCTGGGACTGACAGCCGCCGCCTGGCCGCTGCCGAGGGACAGCGTGTCCCCTGTCCTGCACCGCCGTCCTTGGGGGGTGCCAAACCCTCGAGCGGAGGGGGCTGGGGGGGTCCCCTGAGGGGCCAGCTCGTGACAAAGTGGGGAGCGCGGGTGCGTGGGGTGCCCCAGAGTGGGGACTGTCCTGGGGGGGTGAGCAGGGCACGGATGGGGTGGCACGGAGGGGTGCCAAATGGGATGGTGGCCACCGAGGGTGGCACGCAGCAGCGTGGTCTGGAGAGGGCGAGTGTGACATGCGTGTTGGTGGCCCACGGGTGGCCACCGGGCACACGGCAGGGTGACAGACACACAGCAGGGCAATGCTGGGGGTGCCGGGCAGCTGCTGGGGGTCCCTGACCTGCAGGAGGCACCGGGACGAGCTCCCAGCACGGGGCACCCCAAGGTGCCGGCAGCGGGGTCCCCCGGTGGGCAGCTCCCCTCTCACCCCCTCCTCTCTCTCTCGGCAGACGATGTCCCCCCGCCGCCCGCGCCCTTCGCGCACCGCATCGTCACCCTGCGCTCGGCCAACGTCAGCTCCCAGTTCAACCTCAGCTCCAAGGAGATCCTGGGGGGGTAAGGAGGGGTCTGGGCTGCGGGGGGGACCGAGGATGCCTGGCTCTACCCCAGCTCTGAGCAGCGAAGGGGTCCCCGGGGAGCCTCCAGCACCCAGCTCGGAGCGGTGCCCATGCCTGCGGGGAGCTGCTGCCGTGGGTGCCGGGGTCCCCAGGTGGCCGTGGTGCCATCGACGCCTCCCCTGTTCCACAGAGGCAAGTTTGGAGAAGTCCACACGTGCACCGAGAAGCAGACGGGGCTCAAGCTGGCTGCCAAAGTCATCAAGAAGCAGGGCGCCAAGGACAAGGTCTGACCGATCTCGAGGGAATCTCCAGGGTGCCAAACCGGGGGGCTCCTCGCTGCCGTCCCCCCCCTTCCCCAGGGGCTGTGACCCAGCCCGGCCCCGTGCCGGTGGCTCGGCTGGGGCTGACACCAACCCCCCGGTGGGGCTGCTGCCGCAGGAGATGGTGCTGCTGGAGATCGACGTGATGAACCAGCTGAACCACAGGAACCTCATCCAGCTCTACGATGCCATCGAGACGCCGCGGGAGATCATCCTCTTCATGGAGTTGTGAGTGCCGGGGCTGCGCGGGGCTCAGCGCCCAGGCGAGGGGGCTGCAGGAGGATGGGGTGGGGAGGGAACCCCCCGTCTGACCCGGGGACCCCCCTGTCCGTGCCCGTGCAGCATTGAGGGCGGCGAGCTCTTCGAGCGCATCGTGGACGACGACTACCACCTGACGGAGGTGGACTGCATGGTGTTCGTCCGGCAGATCTGCGAGGGCATCCGCTTCATGCACCACATGCGCGTCCTCCACCTCGACCTCAAGGTGCGGGGACGGGGCGCTGGGGGCTCCCGATGCTCCTGGTGGTGGGGGGACTCGCCCCGGGAGCTGGGCTCTGACCGGGGGGTCCCTCTCCCCGCAGCCCGAGAACATCCTCTGCGTCGCCGCCACCGGGCACATGGTGAAGATCATCGACTTCGGGCTGGCTCGAAGGTGCCGTGCTCCCCCTCTCCCCGTTGTCCGGCTGCCCGTGGTGGCGGCCAGCCCGTCACCCTGCCTCTGAACCCCCCCGTCCCGGCCACAGGTACAACCCCCAGGAGAAGCTGAAAGTGAATTTTGGCACCCCCGAGTTCCTCTCCCCCGAGGTGGTCAACTACGAGCAGGTCTCCTACTCCACGGACATGTGGAGCATGGGCGTCATCACCTACATGCTGTACGTCGGGGTCCCTTCTGGGGGCAGCCCCCGAGCCGGGTTAGCCCCGTGCAGGGGGAATTTGGGGTGCCCAAACCCAGGGCACCCCCTGCTCACCCGTCCCTCTCCGCTCCCCCAGCCTCAGCGGCCTCTCCCCCTTCCTGGGTGACAACGACACCGAGACGCTGAACAACGTCCTGGCTGCCAACTGGTACTTCGACGAGGAGACCTTCGAGAGCGTCTCCGACGAGGCCAAGGATTTTGTCTCAAACCTCATCATCAAAGAAAAAAGGTGTGACACTGGGTGCCGTGGTGACCCCAGGGCGGGCACCTTCCATCTGTGCGCTCTCAGCCCTGCCCAGCCCATGCATTTCAAGTGCAGCCCCCTGTGCCGGGGCTGGCCATGTCCCCAAAGCCCTGCCCTGGCCTCTGGCTGTCCCCAAGCACAGCCCCTTGTCCCTGCAGGGCCACTGGCCACGAGCAAAATGCGCTGGAGCGCTCACGGTCCCTCCTTGTCCCACCGATCCCTGGGCACATCCTTAGGGCTGATGGCCAGGGCGCAGGATTCTGGGGTCGGGGGGCTCTTGGATGGCACAAGAAGGGGTCAGAGGGGGGAAAGGGGCTGCGGGGGGGACCCGTGGTGACCCGCTGGCCTCTGGCCCCCAGCGGCCGGATGAGCGCGGGGCAGTGCCTGCAGCATCCCTGGCTCAACAACCTGGCGGAGAAGGCGAAGCGCTGCAACCGCCGCCTCAAGTCCCAGGTGCTGCTGAAGAAATACGTCATGCGGCGGCGCTGGAAGGTGCGTGGGGTGAGGTGGGTGGGTGGGGTGGGGTGGGATGGGATGGGATGGGATGGGGTGGAACAGGACAGGGGTCAACACCGCCCCGCTCTCCTGTCTGGGGGAGCTTGGGTGCCCCGCGGGTGGGACCTCCCCAAACATTGGTGCCTTTTTGACTCCCCTGAGCCCATCCCAGGAGCGCATCTAAAATGCTGCCAGGATGGAGGGGAGGGAAGCTCCTGGGGCTGGTGTTAGTCCTGCCCCAGGAATCTCCCCTAAAAGCTGGTGCAGGCAGTGCCTGGGCGGCTGCCAGCTCCCCGGCCCAGCTCCCGAAGCAGCTCTGGGAGTGCCGCCGGGTTCAGCCTCGAGGTCTGCAGCCGGACTCGTGCCTCTCCTCTTGACTTTTACAGAAAAACTTCATCGGGGTGTGTGCTGCCAACCGCTTCAAGAAGATCACCAGCTCGGGGTCGCTGACGGCGCTGGGCGTCTGAGCGTGGGCCGGGGGCTGAGCACCGTGAGCCCAGAGGAACCGCTCGGAGAGGGGGCTCGGGGGCCGTGCCGAGCCCCATCCCGGGGCCGTGCCGGGGTCTCACCCCTGGCCAGGAGCAGGATCTGGGCAGGGGCAGCCCCGCAGGCACCGCGCAGCCCCAGCTCTGCTCATCAACCGGCAGCTCCAGCCCCCGCTGCGCCTCGCCACGAAGCCACCTCCACGCTCCTGCCCCTGCGGCCGCTGCTCTGCCCCGGCACCGGGCACCGGGGGGGCTGCTGGAGACCCGGACCCCGCGGGTTCCTCACCCACAGCCGCCTTCTGTGCGCTCACAGGGCTTGAACCACCCCCGTCCGCAGCGAGCCGAGGCTCCCCGCTGCATTTCCACGGACTGCGAGGTGGTTTCCACGCTCGTTCCCGGCACGGCAGCACCACGTAGCAGCGCTCCCCAACCCGCAGCACCGCTCCCCGCTCACGCTGCTCCTCTGGGACTTCAGAGCAGCCCGATGCCAGCACTGCTGCCAGCCCTGCACGCTCACAGCCACACGGGCACGAGGTTGGCACTGCTTGGAGACACCGCAGCCCTGCTGCACCCCGAGGTGCCCACCTGCCCCGCGCGGTGCCGGGCTCTGCTCCCGCGGTGGGAGCAGGTTTGTGGCACGGGGAGGGGGGCGGAAGGCAGGTGCAGACCCGGACACCCCCCTGGGGGACTTGGCGCAGGGGCCAGGGGCCGTGGCATCGCCTCCCCACCACCGCGCGGATGCCGGAGCCGGGAGGGCGGCGGCGCGCACAGGAAGGGAGGAAGCGCCGAGCACGTTTCCAGGAGCGTCCCCAGCTGGGAGCCAGCGAGCGAAGAAGGAGGCTTTGTGTTCCTCCTCACCCCTGCCCTCCGCTCTGCCAGCGGGGGGGCAGCGCAGCCTCTCCTTCACGCGTTTCCCCCCCCTCCCCTCTTTTCTCAGCCAGATAAAGGCGAGCAGCCCTAATGCAGACCAGCTGGGGCTGCGCTCCCCCCCCCCTCCTTGCTCCTGGCAGGATTGCTTCAGCGCTGACCACCAACACACAGGAACTGCCGGCCGCCAGCGGGGCCGTGCCGGGGCCACCGTGTGCCGGGGCAGCGGGTGCTGCGCCCACTCCTCGCCCAGCCCAAGCCCCCTCTCCTCCCCTGAGCCCCCCTCCTCGCAGCACGGCAGCCCCCAGCTTTGCAGCCTCCAGCCTTGCCCCGTGCTGGTTGGCACCGGGCTCTGCCCCCAGCTTTTTTTTGTGCCGTGGAGCGAGGGCTGTGCACGCTGCGGGGGTGTCGGTGCCCTCCGTGGCTGCCGCAGAGCCCTCGGTGCTTGGCCCGGGGTAGGGATGGGGGCGGAAAGCAGCCCCCCAGCCCCGCTGGTGGCAGCAGGTGGATGTGGCTTTGGGCTCGGTGCATGGCTTGCAGGGCCCTGCCCGCGCGCTCGGCTTCTTGTAAATAAATGTACAGGTCTGAGAGCAGCACCGCACCCTGGGCACCGGCTGGGGGGGGGGGCGTTAAACCCCTGGGGGTGTGCATCCTGGCAGCCAGGAGCTGGGGGCTGCAGCTCAACACGGGGCTGGGAGGCTGGAGGAAAGGGGGATCGGGTGGGATGGATGGATGGATGGATGGATGGATGGATGGATGGATGGATGGAGGAGAGGACAGGTGGATGGACAGAAGGACAGAGGTGTCCCCACGGCTGCAGCACCACCCAGGAAAAGGCTGGGGGGGGTCCCGCTGAGCTTGCACACGGAGCCCCCAGCCCCACGCACCCGGGGTCCATCCCTGGGGTCCACCCCGTGCCCCTCTGTCCCTGGCTGGCCCCGAAGCGGTTAAGGCAGCGCAGGCAGGGTCACCGCTCGGCCCAGGGCGTCCCTCCCAGCCCGCTTCCTGCCGGCAGCCTTTGACCAGTTCCTGCCGGTGACCACCCTGCGGTCCTGGAAAACAGCGCGGCCCCATCTGGTTCCAGTTACGCTCCGCGGCGGTGACGTCTCCTTCCTGTCTGGGCCCCAGGAGCCGAGCGTTGCCCTGCGCCGCGGGGGCTGCAGAGCCCCGTGCAGGGCGGCCCCGGTGCCGGTGCCAGTTCCCAGCCTGGCCCCGAGCGCGGCTTGAGCCACGGCTGCCCCGGGGTGGGACCGTGCGGGGTGGCCTCTCCGGGGGGCACGGTGCTGTGCGGGGGCACGCGGGCACCAGCACTGAAGTGATGGGGAGCCCACCCTGCAGCCTGCTTTGGCTTCCTCAGCCCCATTTCCAACCAAGGACCCCACACGGGTCCCTTTTGTGCCTCCATCACGGCAGTGGGCATGGTGACGGGGCTGTTCCCGGTCCAGCATGCGCCCACGGTGCCGCTCCTCACGTGGGGTTCCTCGTCCCCGTGGCCACACCAGCCCCAGGGGACAGAGGGCGAGCGGGCGATGCCGCCCACCAGCACCCACCAGCACCAGCACCGGGACCTCTCCTGGAGCTGGGGGGCTCGGGATCCTGCACCAGGACCCCTTGTGGCGCGCTCCCCGGCCACGGCATGGCCCACGCTGGGAGCGGGTGCGCGGGCGGGGGGCCAGGCCACCCACCGTGAGCCGGCAGCGAGCCGGGGAGGAGGAAGGGCAGGGAGAGGAGCGGGCCCACGGCCAGGGCTGGTGCTGGGGAGCGGGGCTGGGATGGGCAAAGGGAGCCCTGGAGGTGGGTGGTGGCACAGGAGGTGGCCGGGCTCTGCCCTGTCCCCATCCCACCCCGGTGAGCTCAGGGATCAGCGATGCCGGGGGCTGCAGGCAGCAGAGCTGGGGCTCCGCTCCCCTTGGGGCCACCCTCCCAGGACCCCACAAACCCCAGCTCCAACCCTTCTGCATCCTTTATGGGGGCACCCATCCTGCTGCAGCCCCAGCACCGAACCGGGCACCTCGGCACCTTGTGGGTGTCTTGGGGACGGGTCCCCATCCCGGGGGGCAGCGATGGGCTGGGTCCCGCCGTGCTCCCAGCGCTGGGCCCTGCGCCCGGCTCTGCCCGGGGGCCGTGGCCGCGCGTTCCCAAGCAGAGGCTGGGAGCCCGGGCGGGCGAGCGTCCCGGCAGCGCTGTGTGGGAACCAGACGGCCCCTGGGCACGGCTCCGCGGCGCTCGCTTCCTCCCTCGCCCCCGGGGGACCGAGCGAAGGAGGGGGCTGAGGTCAGCCGCGCTCGCTGCAGACGGCTCCGGAGACGCCAGCATGATCTAGGCGCTCAAATATTGTTTTCCACAGGGGAGGGAAGGAAAAAAAAAAAAGAAAAAAGATTAGAAAAAAAGGGAGAAAAAGCAAAGCCCAGGGACGAGTGACCGTCGCTGCTGCAGCGATGACGAACAGCAGCCCCTCCTGGCCCAGCAGCGGCTGTCTGGGCCGATAACGGGGCTGACGCGGTGCCGCTGCTCCTGGTCCCCGAGTGACGCCAGCACCGGCCCTCACCGAGACCCCCGGGGCCTGGCCGAGCTGTGTCCTGCTCGCCTTGTGGAGCCGGGGTCTTGGCCACACAGCCAGCCCCCCCACATCACGGGGAGCCCCCCCAGCATCCTCCTCCCGTGCGCACCACGGCCCCACCAAGGTGGAGCGGGATCAGCCGGGGCAGCCCCGTGCACCTGCATCCCCCAGCCTGGGGGCATTGCCCCCCCCAGGGGGTCCTTTAACAGGGATAAGGGGGTGGGGGGCACGGGCACAGGTCCCCACTTGGCATCGCCCTAGCCCAGCTTGGGGCAGCGGGACGGCTCCGTTCTGGCACGGTGGCGATGCCGACCCCAGCACACGGAGAGGGGCTGGTGGCTACGTCCTGGCCCTGGGGCTACTTGGGGACCCCACCCCACCCCATCCCACCCCACCCCAGCAGAGCCCAGCCCGTGCCCAGCCTGTCGGTGGGAGCAGTGACTCAGCCGGTGCCTCCTCACCGGCAGCCGCCCGGGATGATTCAGGGTGGAGGAATCCTGCCGGGACGCAGCCGCTTCTCCTCGGCCGTTCCCATTGCAGCCACAGCCGTGCCCGCGGGCAGCCCTGGCACTGCAGGACCCCCTGCTCGGGGAGCTGCAGGGTCCCCCATACCCCCTACACCACTGCCAAGCACCTGCGCCCCATCCCACAGAGCCCCTACAACCCCCCCAGTGGCTCTCCAGGTGGGGTCCCCACCGAGGCCGGCACCACTGGTGCCACACGCGCAGCATGGGGTGAAGCCGGGCTCAAGCGAGCAGTGCGGGGTATGTGGGGCCACGGGGCTCACTCCTGGGGGGGCAGCACGTCCCCCTGCCCCTTGCCGATGAGGTTGGGAGCCGTGGTGGGTGGCCTCGGGGGATGGGAACAGAGCAGCCCCCACTGCTGCCCCTGCCCGCTCCCCATCCCGAGCAGGGCGCAGAGATGACAGAGGCAGCGTGGGCGAACGTGCTTTATTCCGCCGCTGGAGCCCCGCACGGTGCCGGGGGGAGGCTGGGGGGGTTGGGGGGGGAGCAGTCCATCACTCGAAGAAGAACATGCCGGGTGTCCGGTACAGGCAGTGGGGCAGCCCCAAAGGGTAGCCGCTGCCCCCCTGCAGCGGGATCGCGCCCCCCGCGCCCCACGCCTCCTTCTGCTCGCCCGCCCGTGGCCCCGCAGCCCCGAAGGGTGCCTGGCGAGGGGCAGGGGGGGCTGCGGCGGGGGCTGTGGCCAGGAGATGCTCCAGCGCCGTGCCGCAGGGCCGCTCGTTCACGCAGAAGCTCAGCGCCTGCACCCGGCACTGGTAGCTGCCACCCAGAGCCTCGTGCCCGAGCGGCCGAAGGAGCCGAAAACGGGCACGGGGGGCTGCTTGTAGCCATCGCCGTCAAGGAAGCAGGGCGCGGGGGGCTTGCCCGCACCCAGGAGGGCGCTGGGGAACATGGGGGGCACCTGCCCGAAGGGCTGGCCCAGCCCCAAGGTGGGGGCCGCCGACTCCTTGCACTCCAGCTCGCCCCGGGGGGACGCGGTGGGGGCCGGGGAAGTCCTGCGCGGGGTCCCTGGGCTCGGTGGGCAGCAGGGCACGGTGCTGCGCCGGGCGCTCGCCGGGCACCGGGTACTGACCTGGCCGGGGCAGCTGCAGAGCCGCCGGGAGCCCCCCAAAGGCAGTCTCCTTGGGTTGGGGGGGGGCCGCTGGCCGGCTCTCCGGGGGGGCCCCATGTGGGGGTGGGCAGCACGGCTCCTTGGCGAAGAACGGCCCCTTGGGCTGCGGCGCGTCCGGCACGTACAGGCAGGGCTGCCTGGCCCCAGGGGGGGGCCGCCGGGCGCAGGGCTCAGGGCACCCCGGCACCCCTCCGCCAGCACCCTCGGCCAGCTCGGGGGGGCCCAGCAGGCGCCCGGCGGCCACCGGCGAGGCGAATCCGCCCTCCGCCTTCCCCTCCTCACTCGGCAGGGCAGCGGGCGGCCCCCGCGAGCGGGGTTTGGGGAGCTTTTTGCGCCCCTCGTCCCCCTCGGCACCTGGTGCGTCGCGGAGCCCCCTCTTCCTGGTGAAGCGTCGGCGTCGGCGCAAGAAGCTGCCGTTCTCGAACATGTTGTAGCAGTCGGGGTCCAGCGTCCAGTAGTTGCCCTTGCCGGGCTTCTTGTCGTCGCGGGGCACCTTGACGAAGCACTCGTTGAGCGAGAGGTTGTGGCGGATGCTGTTCTGCCAGCCCTGCTTGTTGTCGCGGTAGAAGGTGAAGCGCCCCATGATGTAGCGGTAGATGCCGCTCAGCGTGATGCGCTTCTCCGGCGTGCTCTGGATGGCCATGGTGATCAGGGCGATGTAGCTGTAGGGCGGCTTGGTGGCCTCGGGGACAACCGGCGGAGAGGGACCGGGGAAAGAGCCGTCGGTGGCCGGCCGGCCGCGCAGAGCCGCGCTGCCCACGGGGATGTCCGGCTGCATCCTCCCGCCCGGCCGTGGCCGTCCCGCTGCTGCTGCTGCTCCTGCTTCTGCCGTCCGGCTCCGGCCGAGCCCGTTAAAACCCCGCAGCAGCCCAGCCTCCCGCGCCCTGCCGGCGAGGGGGCGGCGGGCCCCTCCTCTCCGGGACCGCGGGGCCGCCCAGGGCGGAGCGGGGGCCCCATCGTCCAGCGCCGGGCTCTGCGGCCGGACGCGCCGCCAGGGCCAGCCCTGCGGCCAGGAGCCAGCGGCCACGCGTTGGCACCGCCACGGCCTCCCCAGGGCACTGGCCCCGCTGCCCCAAACCCTCTTCCCACAGGAGGTTCCCAGGGTCTGGGGCTCATCCTGCCCGGACGCTGCTCCCCTGGGGAGCTGATGCTGGTGGGGTGCGGGGCTGCAGCGTGCAGGATGGGGCTGAGCTGCACCTCGGCTCCCCGGCTGCCTCCTGCCTGGGGTGCTGGATCCCTGCGGTGTGGGATCCCTGCAGTGTGTGGGATCCCTGCAGTGTGTGGGATCCCCGCTGCGCACCAGGTCCCCGTGCCACGCCGTGTCCCTGCACCGTGCCCAGCTGCTTGGGGACATCGCCTCCAGGGTGCGCCGCAACCCCCGCTCCTCACCCAGCACCAGGGGAAACTGAGGCACGTGTTTTTGGGACACGGTGCCACGCTGCAAGGGCAGCTAACGGGCACCTTGCCTCTGCTGCGGCCACACCAATGGGGCCAGAACCAGAGGGCAGGACGGGTGTCGAGGGCGCGTGGCTCCCCGCGGGGTGCTCAGCTCCCGCTGCCCTGCGCCGCGAGGCTGTGCCCGGCTCAGCTCCCCCTGCTGCCCGCACCCGCCTCGTCCCGGCACCCCGCGGTGCTGCTGGCACGGCCCCAGCCCCAGGCCTGCAGTAGGAAACACAACTTTTATTCCTGCACACCACAAACAGCGCGGCCCCGCGGTGCCAAGCACAAGGACGGAGCTGCCTGTCCCTGTCCCCCCGCCAGCCCGGATCGCTGCCCTGCGCGCCCAACAAGCACCCAGCCACCCCCCCCAGATGGTTCCCAGCAGTTCTCGGGAAAAAACCACGGCTCCAGCTCCATCCAGCATCCACCCACCTCCGTCCCCGCTGCGCCAAGTGCCCTGCACACGGCCGCTTGCGCCATCGCTGCTTGGAGGCTGCTCGTCTCCAGGGTCGGAGCGCAGCCGCGGGGAGGCTGAGCACCTTTCCCCGCAGCCGTGAGCACGGTGGAGGCTTCGTCGCGCCTCGGCTGCCCCGCTCAGGGCTGGCAGAGCTGCTGGAGGACAGTGGACGATGTGGCCGGGAGCGCCGGGGGCACAGGGCTGGGGGCAGTCGCGCAGCAGCGTGGGGCCGATGCGCTGGGCGTGATGGAAGAGCTCCCGCGCGAAACACCGGCTCCACCTGCGGAGGCACAGAGCCGCCGGGAGGATGGGGTCTGCCCCCCGAAACCCCTTCCCCCCAGCTCGTGGTTTTGGCGAGCGCCACCCCCGCAGGGACTCACGTGGGCCATGATGAGCTTCTGGAAGTGGTGGCTGGCGCTGGTGGGGTACTCCTCGCCGAAAGCACAGGTGGATCTGGTACTGCGGCGCCGGCTGCCCCTGGCTCAGGTACCTCCGCAGCTCTGCAAGACACCGGCCGCTCGCGATGGGTCCCCCCCCCGACGCCTGTGCCAGGGGATGGGACCTGTCCCCAACACCCTGGGGGGGGGCTGGAGGTCACCCCGAGGGTGGCAGGGGGCTGCGGGCACTTACGCTGCAGGAACTGCTGCGTGTCCAGCAGCTTGTAGGTCTTCTCCCTCTCCAGTTTGTTGGGCCAGTCCCGGTGCGGTGCCAGCGGCCCGTTCCAGTACACCCTGCCCTGGCACTGGCGCTTCATGAAGACCCCCTCGGGGGCCACCCACAGCAGGACCCCGCGCTCCAGGTGGGGCAGGAGCCTCTCCAGCACCTCGGTCACGCCAGCCACCCGGCTGCTGCCTCCCAGAGCCCGCGGTGGGGGGAATTCGATCTGCTCCATGCACGAGGGGCCGTAGAGGCGCTCGCTTTCGGCCGGCTCGGCGCGGGAGGCGATGCGGCAGCCCTCGGCCGTGCGGGTGGTGAGCTCCTTCACCAGCACGTCGCAGTAGTAGAGGCGGACGTGGAGCCAGCAGTCTTGTGGTGAAGGAAGGGGGGGGTCAGCACAAGGTTGGGGGGGCACCGGGGGCTGCAGCCCGGCCAGGGCAGCTCCTACCTGAGTGGTTGACGTCCTCGACGGGGAGGTAGGACGGGGGTCTGGGGAGGAAGTGGCCGTGGGTCGGGTTCCAGCCGTAGAAGGCTCCCCGTATGTGGTACCCTGGATCAGGATGGAGATGGCAGAGGGATGTGGGCAGCTGTCCCCAAGGGGGTCCTGTCCCAGCCCCAGCCCCCAGGGTTGGCGGGGGCTTCCCACAGCTGCTGCACCTCGTTAAATCCCCTCAGTGCGCAACCAGGCAGCTTCGTTTCGGGATGCACAGGGGGGGAGCCCCAGCCTCGCTCTCCATTCCCACGGTCCCACGGCTCTGGGAAGCGGGGTGCCTCCTGGGGGGCAGCGATCCCCTCCTGCCCCAGCCCCATCCTGCGTGCCCCCACCACCCCCAGGGCTCTTTTCTCACCTCGCTCAGCCGGGTGGGCAGAGAGCAGGGGGAGCGCAGCCGCGTGGCAGGACCCCCCGGCGCCCCGCACGCCCTCCTCGGCCGGGCTCCCCGCGGCACGACCCTGGGGATGAGAGCAGTGGTGAGGGCCAGGCTGGCAGCGGGGGCACCTGAGCCAGCTCTGGACCCCCCCCCAACACACTTTTAGGTGGGGGCTGGCTCACCTGCGGGTCCTCGCTGGCTGGGGGCTGCGGGCCACCATCGTTCTCTGTGGGGAGCGAGGAAAAAAAAAACTGAGACCCACAGACAGCGGGAACGGCCCCCGGGGAGGTGCTGGCTCCCCAGGGAAAGCAAACCCAGCCTCGAACCGCAGCGGGTGGCCAGGGCACAGCCTCGGGAAGGGTTTTGTCCAAGAACAGCCCAGGGCATCGTGGAGGAGCGGGGAGAAAGAGGAGTGGGGAGGAAGAGGAGTGGGGAGGAAGGGTCCCGGGCGGCGATGCCCACGGGATACGGGGCTGGCACTGGGTGTGAGCCCCGAGCCTGAGCAGGCAGCAGGTGTCGGGGCAGTACCTGCATCACGGGTGCCGTCGGAGACGATCTGGTACACCTTGTAGGGCTCGGAGATGTCGAGCTGGCTGCGCTCGGGCACCTCCTGGAAGTCGGTGCTCTTGTTGAGGGCGCAGCGCAGCCGCGTCTTCCAGGTGGACGGGTCGGCCTTGTCCGTGCCCTCGTGGTACTTCCCCTTGTACACGGCCCAAGCCTGCGGGCAGGGGGGGTTTGGGGGGGGTGGGCTCGGTGCTGCAGGGGCTGCCCGGACCCCGGCCCCCAGCCCCGCTCAGCGGGCCGAGGGGGATGGAGGAAGGGGATTGGGGAGGGGGGAGCCCACGCGTGGGAGCCCTCGAGGCTGAGCTGGGCGGCCGGGGGGGGCAAAACCGTGGGGCAGGGGGCGGCGGGGAGCAGGGGGAGCCCCTTGGGGTGCAGAACCAGGTGTGGTCGGGGATGCCCGGGGGGTGTCCGGGGGGGGTCCGTACCCTGAAGAGCGCCGCGTCCTGCTGCTGCCGGTAGTCCTGCTTGGCCGCGTGCTTCCAGGGGATGCGGAACAGCGTCCTGCGGCCGTCCTCCCAGCGCAGCCCCGGGTAGCGGCCGCTGTCGATTTGGGCAATCAGCCACTCCTTCAGCCTCATGGGCGACCCCGGCTCCGCCATCGCGCCCCGAGCCCCGCGTCCGGCCCTGCCCCGCGGTGCCCTCGGGAGCGCGCCGGGGAGGCGAAAGCGAAGGCGCGTCGGGGACTTTCGCTTTCGTTTTCCCGGACGCCGCTTTCGGTTCCTCCGCAGCGCCGCTGGGATCCCGGCCCCGGGAGGGGTGGGGGGGGAACCGAGGGCACCGGTGGGCACCGGGGACCCCCCCCCGCGGGGACCGTGCCTGGGGGCTCTGTGCTGCAGGGAGCCCTACCCACCACCCCCGGGGCACCTGGGCACCTCCCCGCGTCCCCTCGGGGCTCCCCACGCTGCCCCCAGGGTCGCCCCTCTCCCGGCTTTTGCATCCACCTCTGAACCCCCGGCCCATGGCTGAGCCGGGGGGGACTGGGAAGAACCAGGGGGCACCAGGGGGAAGCAGGATGGGAACGGGGATGGAGGGGCTTGGCCCATCCCGTGCCCACGCTGCCTGCCCGCTTCCCTGGGGGCTCCTGGCACCAGTGGCCCTGTGGGTGGGCGCATTGCTCGTGGCCACCGTGCCTCTTGCTGAGCTCGTGCAGCCTCGCGGGGGCTTTTTGCTCTTGTGGGTAGGATGAGCAGGGGCACATGGCCCCACACAGCCCCTTTGCCCCCGGCTGGCTTCCGAGCATTGCTCCCCACTGCCCATAGTAGGGTCTGGCCCTCCCTGCAGCCAGGAGCCTGGCTCAGCCACCCCATGGGAAGGGGAAGGGGTGGCGTGTGGACAGCAAACTCCACGGTCAGTAAGGTTGTAAAATACATAACATTTGTTCAGCACTGGGGGGGTCCCACCAAAGTTGTGTGCGCCCCAACGCGGCACTTGCCTTGGTTGTATGTGGAGAAGGCATGAAGCTTCTCAAGACACCTGTACATACACGACTTATCCCCACTTTGTATTAAAATTAATTCCAGGGACTCATTTTCACCAATTCCTCCTATCCACACCTGCGCAGCGCTTTCTGGTAGTGGTCGCCGGGGGTCGTGGGGATGAAGATGAGCAAGTCCTCCTCGTCACCACTGGCTGACCTCTCGTCTCGGCGCAGACTCATTAGCTCCTCAGCTTCTGCTTGAACTGCAGATTCGGTTTCGGTTGGTTCTGGAAATGCGTTTCCTGTTTCTATCAGGAACTGTTTTTCATGAGAAATCTCAGAATTTCCTGTTTCAGTTTCTTTGCACAATAGGTAGGGGAAGACACGGTACCTGTCCCTCAGCCTGGCTTATTTACTGAAATTCCTTCCGCTTCGTGAGCCCATCTTATCTACTAAAATTCTTTCAGGGGGATCTCCCCCTGCTTCGCCCCCAGCCCCCCCTGGCCCACCCGGGTTTGGCAGCCATGTGGGCAGGCTGGGGGGCAGCGTGCCCGGGGCTGCGGCCACCTCTGCAGCTCCTCCATCCCCGCTGCCCGGGTGGGTTTCCTCTCCAGTTCTGAGTCAGAGAAAGTTGCCTCTTGGCTAGGAAGCAGACAAGGCTCCCGAGAGCCAGCAGGCTGCTCTGAGCTTGAAATCCTCGAAATGAATAAGCGGTGACACTGTGCCAGGCTCCGGCCTCCCCCTGCTGCCTGCGCCCAGCCCCGGGTTTCCCCGCAGGGTGTGGGGACGGGGACACGGCCCCATGGCACAGAGCACGTGGGGCTGTGCGAACCGGCCACGCTGGCAGGGTTTTTCTGCTCACTGAGCCTGCCTTTGGCCTCCCCACTGCAAGAGCAAGTCCTGCCTGCCCTGCCTGCCCTGCCCCTGTGCGCTCAGGGCTGTGGCTAACCCGAGCCCTGCCTGCACCCCGGAGGAGGCAGCGGTGCCGAGCGCTGCGGGTTGCGGTTTTGGGGAGGGGGCTGGGGTACCAGGTAGAACCCACCGGCCCCAGCTCGGTGCTGCTCCGGCCAGGCCAGCGTTTTGGGGACACGGGGAGGGGATGCTGAGCGGCGCAGGAAGCCGTGCTGGTCTCTGCGCCAGCCAGCAGGGGATTTCCACCGGCGGCTCTGACGCACGGGCTGAGCGCCAGCCCTGTCCTGGCCCCCGACCCCACACTGCACCCCCAGTGCTGGCCCCTGCCAGGAGCAGCAGAGCAGGGGCAGTGCCCTGGCCCTCTCCAGCCCCCTGGCTGGGGTAATTCGGGTGCTTTCTACCTGGAAAAGGGCTTGGGACTGAGGGAAGGGGGATTTGCGTCTCCTCTTTGTGCCTTGGGAGATGAGGCGATGCCAAGGGGCTGTTGCACAGCCTCATCTCAGTGGCTTGCACGGATTAGCCCCAAGCCCAGGAGCTAGTCCAAGCCCACCGACTCCTCAGCCACACAAAGCCCGGCTGGATAAGCCTTGATCAGCTGGGAAATTCTCTCCTAAGAGGTGGTGACATGCAGGACCAGAGGGAGGTAATTACCCTGCCATCAGGGGAGATGCTCAGAAGCATTTTCCCGGCTGTTCTGCTCCCTGCACAGGGAAGGTGAAGCTGCTTAACCCTTACACTTTGCAGGCTGAAATGCGCTTCAAAGGCAGTCAAACATTAACTCGCAGCTAACCCTGCCCTTACCTGTTTTTTTCCAATTGTGCACACCGGATCTGCCAAAATAAATATGTTTTTGCCGTGCGGCGGAGCTGGACCTGGAGATGCCATTGCTCCGCACACAGCCTTGGTGTGGGTTTAGAGCGTGAACCAGGAAATGCTGCGTGTAAACACCTCTGTGCGGCGTGTCCCAGCAGGGGGCTGGCAGGAGGGCTCGGCTGTGCAGGGGGAGCACGCTGGGGGCCAGGGCTGGAGCCCCCCTGCAGCACCTCGCTCGGTGCCGGGTACGGGGAAGCAGCCAGGGCTGGCAGGGCTGAGAGGAGAGGGGGATGATGCTGAGTTATCCTAAGGAAAACAAGATGGGAAGTTTGGGGTGCCAAAAGCTGCAGTGCTGCTTGGCACACCCCCCCAAAAAGCAGGGGCAAAGCCCCTCTGCCTGCTGCCCCTCCTTGCTCCCCGCACAGCCCCGTGCGCCCCGCGCAGTGCCCGCAGGTGCAGAGGGGCCCTGGGGACACCCGGCAGCTGCCTGCCTTCAGCCAGAGCCATCAGGCAGCAGTAAATGAGCAATCATTAATTATTGATGGCCATGTCCTGTCCGACTGTGCTGTCTCCTGAAAGCACCCAGGGCAGAGGCCATCCCCGCTCCCCGGCAGCTCCGTCCCCCTGGGAGCCTGCGTCTGGTACTCAGAGCACGGCTCAAATCTCCCTTTCTGGCTGGGGGGAGGAACGCTGTCCCTGTTAGGAAAAGGGGAAGGAAAAGGGGTCAGCAGGGATGAGGGAGCCCCCAGGGACCTGTGCCCGCAGGGGGATGCTGATGGCCCAGCTGGGCAGCATCATCCCCACCTGTGAGTGCTGCACTACAAGGTGTCAGCAGGATGGGGCTGGGGAGGAATGGGGTTTGCACCACCCAGCATCCCCGCAGCTCCCAGCAGGATCCAGCTGAAGGCACTGAAGAGGCTGCAGCAGAACAGGATCCACGTGAGTACCCTGCAGTTTGCTCCCAGTGGCTCTCCTGTGGGGTGGCAGGGGTGGCTTCCCACCGAGGGCAATGCTGCTGGGGCATGGCTGGTGCTGTTTGCATGTGGAGTTCCCAAAACATCGCTGTGGGGTTGTAACTGCGGGGCCTCAAGCCCCCGGCAAATGTGGGCTGTGAAGTGAGGCTGGGTGGGAGGAGGGCAGGGAGCCCTTGCCTCCTTGTAGCCTCTGCACTGGTGTCACCACCTGCTGCACCCCTTCCCTGTGCTGCCCATGGGTTTTGGACTCTCCCCGTGCCAGGATTTTCCTGCCCCAGCCCCCCCGTTGTGACCCAGCCACCACCCACGAGTCAATCCACGTCCCAGGCAGGCTGCAGAGAAGAAACGTTTATTACCACGAGGACATAGAAAGTCTTTAAGCAAAATGGCTTAAGGCTCCGCTTTAGTGAGGTCTGGCTAGGTTAAACATTTATTTCCCACCCTTTGAAGATTGTGCCCTGGTACCGGTGGGAATGGGCTGCGATGAACTCCTAAAGCTGCGCTGCTTGCTCGGGGCTTGTGCTTGGTTGGCCCGGAGCGCCGGGGGCACCCGCGTGCCCCCTGCCCCGCAGCCACCTCGGCTCTGGAAGCTTGATGCTGCTGCTGCTGCTGGTGGGAAATCTGCCCCAAGGGGTCAGCAAGCTCTCCTTGCACCCCGTGTGCGCCCCTGAGGCCCATGCAGCTGGTACTGAAGTGCTAAAGCTGCTGCCAGCATCACCTGGTGGCTGAGAAGCCCTGTCTGTGGCTCTGCCCGGAGCCCATGGTGAGCTGGGGACCGTCATCTGCTTTCACCAGATGTCCTCCCACACCAGGCACGAAGGGGCTGACCCCCGCAGTGCTCTGCAGAGCGCAGCAGTGCAAATGAATCCCTCCCCCGATAGCTGAAAGCCAGGACAGAAGATGGCACGCTTGAACCCGGAGAGGAGAAGGAGCTGTGCTTGTGGGTGGCTCTGCAGCGCAGCGCTTCCCCTCCAGGCCAGCGCTGCTGCAGCTTAGTTTTTACCAGGCTGTTATTAGGTGATTTCTGCTGCTCTCCCTCCCTGGCTGCCATCACTTCAGACAAGCCGGGATGCAGGAGAACGTCCTCTTCACCCGCAGCAGAAAGGGAGCGGTGCTCTTCATGTCCCTGGCTCTCGGTACCAGTCCTTGCCGAGCTCCCTCTGCTCTGGGTGCTCCTCTCCCCACCGGCAGCAGGGCCTTGATTTCTTCCTCGTCATTGAAAGGGGATGACCCGTACCTCTGCCTCAGGTGCCTGCGGATCTGGGGAAAGAACAAGATCCCAGCGTGCTTATTTTGAAGTGCGAAACCAAGCCTGCAAGCAAGGGGCACAGGGAAGGAGTCTGGTGCCCCTGGGCTCCATTCCTGCCCCGAGACCCACGGAGGAGCAGAGCCACGGGGCTGTGCAGGTGACAGAGGCTGCGTCCCCCTCGTGTCCCCACCTTGCGGGCTGCGCTGCTGCCAAACTCCTCCAGCTGCTGCCTGAAGCCAGGGTTGGGGTTGGCGACGGGTCGCACGCTTCTGATGGCCTCGAGCACCTCCTGAGAGCTCAGCTCCGTCACGGCCATGACGTAGGCGACGACGACGGTGGTGCTGCGGGAGATCCCGGCCAGGCTGGCACGGGAACAAGCACATGGGAGGTTGCCCGTGGTGTGCCCTCCCGCCTGCTGCCCTGACCCTGTGCCTGCCCCTTCCTCCACCCCTTGTGCTTCAGCTATTTTGGTTCCCCTGCTCAGCGAACTTGCTCTCTGGGAAGCCAAAGCCCTTCCAAGGTCCTCTCGCTCGGTGCCTATAAATACACCCCGCTCCCCTGGGGAAGTGAAAGTATCAGCTGCTGCCTGGAAGCCTGCCCCAAACAGCTCTCTTCCCACTTGCTCAACGACAGCAAAAAGCTGCCCCTCTCTAGCAGTTCTCCAGCCCCAGGACTCCCCAAATCCTGCTTGTTTGGAGGCTGCAGCTGAGCCTGGTGGTGGATTCTGAGTGGATTCATGGACACGGGGACCCTTGGCAGACACTTGCGGCTGAAGCTGGGGGTTCTGGCAGCTAGACCTCCTGCTGTGCTGGGAAGATCGTGGCATTGGGCATAAGAAAAGGAGTTTTACCAGTGGACGAGGCAGTTCCCTCCATGCAGGCGACACTGGTGGATAAAACTGATGCATTCCTTGAAGTGCTTCTTGCTAGCAGGAAAAATAGCACAGAGTAAGGACTACAGGTGTGGAACCAGATTTTTAGGCTGCAGGTGATGCAGCCCTGAGTGTCTGAAGACAAACAAAAATAAAATGCCTCTTGCTTTACAGACACCATCACCAGCTGCTGAGACCCAAGCAGCTCAGGGCTATTTTCCCAAGAAAAAGCCTACGGCTGCTCACATTTCCGACTGTGCCAGCGCTCCTGGCCAGCTCTCCCCCATCTCCAGGCAGCTCTGCCCAGGCTCCCAGGTAGAACGCTCCCTCCTCCTCTGCATCCCACTGCAGACAGGCTGCCTGTCACCTCAGCCCCGGGCTGGGACCTGCTGCAGTTGCTGCATTTGAGGGGCTGGATGCAGCACCACAAGGGCTCAGGGTACTACTGGCTGCCCCGCAAGGACCGAGCTCCTGCGTGCCCCCATCTGGGCGCTGGCCTCACCAAGTACTCACATGTTGGCCTCTGGTGTGTCTGGCAGGGGAATACGGAGGTAGGTGATGTCCTGCAAGACATGAGAAGAGGAGAAACTCAGCCCCCAGGGTCCTGCAATCTGCTCGCCTGCACTCCCCTCGGGCTTCATTCCCACAGCACAGCTTCCCTCTGTGCAGGGTTGGGGCTGCTCTCCCCCTCGGTACGTGCATCGGGGAGGGCAGCAGGGAGAGAGGAAGCTTGTGGCAGAGGGTGGGAAAATAAGATGAAGCTGGGGAGCTGGAAATTGTTTCTCATCAGCATTCAAGGCCAGGTTACGAACACGAGCCAGCAAACTTCCCAGAGCAGAGGGGCTGCCTCGCTCCTCTGGGACTGCTGCTGGGGTGAGGTGGACGTGCCACGGGATGCTCGGAGCTGAAGGGAGTTGCTGCAACGTGGGAAGAGCTGCAGCAGGCTGCATGCTGGCGTCAGGCACGGGACCTTACCTGCAGCAAGGGCTGGGGGGATTCATGGATGGAAACAATGTGGGTAATCTTGTTCCGGCTGAGCTGCTCCAGGTCTTTGGCATCTAAAGGATAAAAATAGATATTGGTACGTGGTTGTTTCTTACCCTTCTCCTCCCACAAGCACATCCACCACCCTCCTGCAGACAAACCAGCACGCAAAGCCGTGCTCAGGAGGAGCAGCTGCATTACACCCCCCTCCTGTGCACATCGACGCGCTTGGAAGAGCAGTCACAGGCAAATATGCAAACGCCTCTTGGAAATCTGGGAACACAAACCCAGGGGCACCAAAACAGAGACCTACTCCCTCCAAAGGCACTTGACCTCGCTGCTTCTGCTTGGATTCACGTCTGCATGGGAAAGCACCCTCTTGTGCAAGCAGGCAGCTTCCCACTTGCCTCTACTTGTCCACCAGCTCAGGGCGGAAAGAACGCGCTCTGAGACCGCACCTCTCCCGTGCAACCACGACGTGGAAATGGGACCTCCTGCAGCCTCAACGATTCATCTCACAGGCTGCAGAATCGGAGCTGCAGCTTTTCATACCAGCATTGAGCTTGGCTGAGTCCGAGTTCGTTTTTAGTATCTGGGGGGTCTGCAGAAAACAACTGAGCTGCCATTTGGAGCACTCTGCGTGCATCCCTCCGCAGTTGCATGCACAGAGATCAAGTACCCTCAGCTTTCTGGGGAAATGACCTACTTTGCACTAATGCTTCAGCAGCCTCTGGTTGTGATTCTGGTCACTGGTCTAGCATCAAAGTTATTATGCTGTGAGGATAGCCTGCTCATCTTGCTGGCTAAGCAGCTTTGTAGCTGTTTCCCTTTCATGCCATGACCAGCTGATCGTGCACAAGCTGCAGGAGATGAGTACTAATATTTTCTCATCTCATAGCTTTGGGTTTCTAAACTTCCGAGTGGTGTGAAACCTTGGCTCGGGAATCTGAAACATGATGTGCTAATGGCATGATGTGAATATTTAATAGAAGTGAGTCTCAAGAGGCACGCTTCACATTAGAGTCCGTGCCTGGTGTGTGCGTGCAGCGGGGAGGGAGGCGCGGACCCTCTGTCCACGGGCTCGTACATCAGCTGTCACCTCCCCACCCGGCTCTGGCAGGCAGAATGACAGCAATTAGTGACACGATTGTAAAGCCTCACTACGGCTGGAAAATGCTTTCAGTCGGAGAAAATGTCTCTATGAGCTGTCAGAGCTTAATTTAGCGGGCCTTAAATCTCTGTCATCACCCTGAATTTCTTGGTAGAGCAACGCTTCGGTGGCATCAGGCCAAGATAAAACATCAGTGGTTGCTTGCAGTAACCTCTGGGAAGGGCTCGGGAGCCGGGTACCCCTGGGTGCGCTCCCCACAGGGCTCCCAAACAGCACCCAGCCAGCAGCAGCTCCTCCAGCCCTGACCCCTGAAACTTTCCCTTCCGATGCTGAGGAGCGTGCTCTGGCCAGGCTGCTGCCAGCCAGGACTGTCACGCTGGTTCTAATGACATTTTCTTAGCAATTCATGCCAGTGTTTTCAAATGTTCTCAGCACTTAGAGCAGGAATCAAACTGTCAAAAGAGCCGTTAGGGAGGCAGGAGCTCTGATAAATGCTGGTTTTTCATGGCAGATGCCAGTCCTTAGTCATGAATGACTGACAGTGAAAACCCATTAAAACAGTGATTCGGTGCGAGAAGGGCGACTCAGCCTCTGGGAGAAACACCCCAGCATGTGCAGCCCCCTCCTACTCGCTGCTAAAACGTGGGGGAGGCCGAGGCTTTCAGGAGGGCTTTCAGTTCCAACCTTTCCCTGCTCTGCTTGGTGTCACAGCATCTGCCCAGGTGCTGCTGGGTCTTTCCTGACAAGGTCATGGCCTTGCTCAGCTTCTTCCTCCAGTCTCCTGAGATCTCAGGAAAGCTATTAAGGAGAAATCAGGCAAGCAAAGCAAGGGCAGAGCTTCTTGCTGTTGCTCACACAAACTGCACGCCCATGTAGCAGAGGAAACCTCATTCCAGGATGGTGAGGCATCATCCTATCCAGTTAGCTCCAGCTCTCTGCTGCTTCTCTCCATGCTATTTAGTTTACAGGCTCAGCACCTGCATCTGCCCAGGCCTGAGCTCCTGATTCTTCCCCTCCCCAGGAAAGCAAAGTAAGGCTGGAGATGGGAAGAGGAGGCAGAGGAAGGCAGTGCTGAGGGAGGAGCTGGCCCATCTGCTAGGTAAAGGCACATCCTGAGCAAGGCTCAAACAAACCCAAATGATGGGAGTGCAACAGGAGAGCAGCTTTTATCCCTCAGCTGCAAGAGGAAGCGCCGTGCACTCACACACCCAGGAGCCCCTAAACCTTCCTGACGTGGCTGCTGCTGACCCTCCGAGCTCAGCCCACCCGTGCAGCACGAGCCTGTGGGGTTGGGGCAGACAGAGCTGCCCAGCTCAAGGACTCCTCCGCGGCGTGGGGCTCTGCTTACCGATGAAGTTTCCCAGGTAAAGGCCGGGGAGGATCTGCAGGACACAGAGAAGAGGTGTCAGTCCATCAGCAGCTAACACAGTCCCTGGTACCCACTGCTCTGGGGCTCCTCGTGCCAACCTGCCCCTGCCACCACCTCTGCCTGAGCATAGCAGAGGCCAGGACGAAGCACACAAAGGGAACCAGCAGCATTCACCACTCTGGTGAGCCCAGCCTCAGCTGGAAAGGCAAAAGTGCTGCCACCAAGAATGGCTGAATGACCTGTCTGCTGTCACCTCGCTGCCTCCAGGCCTGCAGCAGCACAGCTCAGTGCCTGACATCCAGCCCAGCTGATCTTTGGCCACACCAGTGGCAGCCCCGTTCTGCCTTCCTGCCTCATGCTCCAGGCCCTTGCAGGCACGGGAAGGCTGCCAGGTCTCTCTTATTGCTCCCTTATCAATTTCACTCTCAATTTCTTTAGCGATTTCTTATTGCTCCTTTTGCTCATTATCTATTTTTATCTGGGCTCAGCACGCTGCGTACGCCTTAAGGCAGCCTCGGACTGCCCCTGACCTGTGCTCCTCCTGCTGTTGGAGGCACAAGGAAGCAGCAGACCCAGGGAACCTGGAGAACGTGACCCAGGACAGCCTTGGCCAGCGCTGGCAGGGTGGGGAGTGATGACACGCTCCCAGCTCTGCCCTGCTCCCTGCGCTCCACGGGGAGCCCGTTTCTAACAGGCCTGGGACAGATTGCTCTGAACACTGTGCCTTGAATGGAATTGCCTTGCAAAACTTCACTTCTTGTGATGAAAAGATAATTACTTGACAATGCCTCTATTAACAGCACTGCAGATTACAGAAGTGAGACACCCTGCATCCATTCCTACCCTTAGCTATTTTGTATTTTCCTGTTTCCCATCTTGGAAAATGAGGACTAACAGCCTGGGCACACTTCTGTGCGCTCAGGTTCACTTCCAGCTTCTCCCTGCTGCGTGTTTGGTGGGCCGGGACCTGGGCAAGCAGGGAGGATTTCTACAAACACAGTTGTGCTTGCACAATGTCTTATCTCACTGCTCATGTTTGGAAACATTTCTATTGCTCTAACAGCTTAAAGATCTTTTTTATGATTCCTTAAATTTTAGATCAATTTTATATCGACGGGGCGCCTTTAACTTTCAGCAGCTGCACGGCAAATGAGATGGCACCAGAGCCATTTAGCAAGGCCAGCTCCCAGGGGCAGGACGCTGAGCCATGAATAATGGCACATTCCTGTCCCTGTAACTTTCTGATCCACTCCTCGCTGAATAAAATGGGCCATTGCAGCTCTGCCTGAAACACCGAAAACTTTCCCAGATAATGAGTGGTTTTAGGTCGGAGGGGATGTTTAAAGCATAAAGAAGATGTCTCCGTTCACCTGTGACCTGGGAAAAGCTCAGACAAGCAGGAAATAGTGCCCGTGCCCTCTGTCAAGCTTTGAGCACTGTGCAGAGCTGGCAAGCACAGGACGTGGCACCACACCACCCTCAGGGTCTAACAGGGCTGCTGGCGTGTGCTTGGGATCTCGTGCCTTTGCTTTAAAGGTGTTGAAAGTTTCCTCCCTCCCTCGGAGGGGTTGCTGTGACCTCCTGTCCTCCACACTCCGCCGTGAACCCGGCAGTGCTGTTCAAACCTGGCCTGCCCTGGGAGAAGTGGCTGGGGACAAGTCCGAGCTGCAGCTCCGCACGGCATCTCTGCCTGCTTCTCATCGGATTTTGCTCAGCCTGCAGGAAAACAACCTCCTCCAGCAGCCGTGCCCGCTGCCGCTTTCAGCATCGGCGGGGAGGCTCCCTGGCACGCGAAACGCTGCTCGGCATCGCAGAGCAACCAGAAGCAGACCGACATCTCCCACCTCCAGCACTGCAAGCCCGTCCTGCAGCGCCCGGCCCTGCAGAGCTGCACCCCGGCGCTCCCTTTACCTTGCTCATGCCATTTCCCATGGTCTGCAGTACGCGCCCCGGGAGGGGCGGGGAGCAGGTGTCCTTGTCCCCGATGCTACCGTCGTCCGCCCTGTCCCCAGGCGAAGCTGCTCCGGACGCTCCCTGGGAGGATTTTCGTCATGAAGAGCTTGCTCCTGCGGGACAGCCGCTTGTCACGGGGGGGCTTGATTTCAGCACACGGAGGCCAATCCCCCGGCAGCAGCGGGCTCTCCTGGCCAGGAGAGACCTTGGCCGCTTCCCCTGAGGCTCCTGCCAAAGCCGAAGCCCTTCCCCAGCACCCGCCTCCCTCGCACCGACTGCTCCTTCTTACCGGGAGGAGACAAAGGAGGAGAAACTCCACCTCTGAGCGGTGGTGTGGGAGCGCTGGGCGCGCTGTCTGCTGACGGCCGCCGCTGCCAGCACGGCCGGACAAGGCTGCAGTGTGAAGAGAAGAACAAAACCTTTGTCCTGCCCCATCAAGGACAGTCTGTTTGGCCACGCAGCCAAGCGCCCGGTGGCATGCCCGGCCCTCCCTGTGCCTGCCGTGGGGGGCTCAGGACCCCAGAACCGCAGGCTGGCAGCGGTGGCAGCTCCGTACCCACCTGCACACAGGTGAAATGTCTCTCTTCCCGGGGGAAATGTCCCTTTTGTCCCCACAGATCGGGCAGCACCAGCGGGTGCCGGCACCTGAGAGGCCAGGTTCAGCTGGCGGGTGCCCAGCCAGCACCCCAGGGCTGCTCCCTCCCTCCTGCGTCACCCACACCGGAGCAAAGTCCGGGTCCTTTTGGTGACCTGAGCACTGGGAAGCGTTGGCACTGTCCCTGCAGGGCGCTGACAGGGCTGCAGGACTCCCAGGGGCAGGTTGGGGCCTGGCCTGCGCCCCCCGTCCTCAGCTGGGCAGGACTCCCAGCCCCTATGGGGACCCTGCAGCCCCTGCCCTGTGTGCCCTGTGGGGCCTGTGGGGTGGCAGCTGCCCCCTTGGTGTCACTGGGGTGGGGGACAACCCCATGGCAGGGATCAACCTCACGACAGGGGACAACCCCATAGCAGGAGACAACCTGACAGCAGGGGACAACCCCATAGCAGGGGACAACCCCACAGCACAGGACAACCCCATGGGAGGTGACAACCCTATAGCAAGGGGACAACCCCATGGCAGGTGATAACCCCATGGCAGGGGACAACCTCAGCAAAGGACAACCCCACAGCAAAGGACAACCTCATACCAAGGGGACAACCCCATAGCAGGGAACAACCCCATAACAAGGGAACAACCCCACAGCAGGGAACAACCCCATAGCAGGGGACAACCTCACAGCAGGGGACAACCCCACAGCAAAGGACAACCCCATAGCAAGGGAACAACCCCATAGCAGGGGACAACCCCATAACAAGGGGACACCCCCACAGCACTCCCCCTGGGCTGGGCAAGGAGCCAGGCCAACCCCGCACCCTGGGGACCCCGGGGCTGCGTTAGGGACCCACGGGTTGGAACTGGGGGGGCTCTGGGGGTGACCGTGAGGGACCCCCCAGGCCCAAGGGCCCCCCCCCAGGCCCTAGGCCGCGGGCGCCCCCTGCTGCGCTGCGGTTGCCATGGCGACGGCTGCGGCCTGCGGGGCCTGCGCCATGGCGGGGCGGAGGGTGAGGCCGCTGCCCCCCGGCCTTCCTCCTCCTCCTCCTCCTCCTCCTCCTCCTCCTCGCCCTCTCACCGCCTCTCCTCTCCGCTCCTCTCCCCGCAGGCCGCCGCTCCTCGTGCCCCGAAGAAGCCGAAGCAGCGCCCGGCGGAGCGCGGCGGGGCCGGGCCGGGCAGCACGGGCGGCTCTGCCCCCGGGGCCGCCCCCCTCCCGCCCCCAGCGCCCTCCGGCCGCCCCCGGCCCTGTGTCCGCTTCAAGTGCGGCTTCACCGGGCCCGTCCTGGATGTGCTGAGCAGCCGGCCCGGTTGGCAGCAGGCGAAGGAGTAAGCGAGGCCTGGCCCCGCTGCCCCCGGCCATGGGGGTCCCTCTCGCCGCCTCCTGTTCGGCAGCGGCTCCCTGGGGGCAGTTTGGGGTCCCCCCGGGGCAGTTTGGGGTCCCCCGGGGCAGTTTGGGGTCCCTTGGAGCAGTTTGGGGTCCCCCGGGGCAGTTGGGGCCTGGGCCGTGCTGGGTGCCAGGCCCAGAGCAGCCCCATAGCGCTCCCCAGGTTGTGCCCGCAGATCCTGGGTTTGTGTAGGTTAAAGCAGGCCTGGGGGGGGGGAATCCTGAAATTTCTCCCCTTCTGATTTTAAAGATGAGGAGAACGCCCCCAGCCCCTCTGGTGGAGGGGGTGCGGGGAGGGGAGGTGGCCGTGGGTGGTGGTGACCCCGGGGAAGCGCGGTGCTTTCTGCATGGGGCCTTCCTCCCCAGCGAGGAGGAGTGGGATTTTCTCTGGTGTGATGTCAGTTGGCTTCGGGAGAATTTTGACCACGCGTACATGGAGGAGCATGTTCGCATCTGCCACTTTCGCAATCACTATGAGGTAAGAACCCCTCAGAGGTGGAGTGAAACTAGGAGGGTTTGAGGAGGTATTTTTAACTTGCCTGTAAGTTTCCACAAGAAGTGGTTATGACTGGAAATACCTGGTCATGTTTTCCACCGTGAAAACTGGCTTCTCTTACAGCTCTGATAAACCTTCAGAATGTATCAACATCCCTCTGCCTCAGGTAGGGCTTTGCTCTGGATCCTGACACTTCACTTTACCCTGTTGCCAATTTAGTAGGCACCAGCAAGGTCATGAATCTTGAAAATTACAAAACCAGTTGTGTAGGGGATCTAGTTAAAATAGAAAATGCCTTCCTCTGTGTAGGTGAGTTTCCTGACACGTTTGCAGGCGGGGTCTCTAATGCATTAGGATTGGACACACGTGTTCTCGTTTGCCTAGTGAAAGAGAGCTTTTACCCTACATACACCTAAGGCTGGTGCATTGCAACAGGTCCTCCAAAAGGGCAGTGTTTTGGGGAACCTTATTTCTATTTATGAGCAGATTTAGTTGCAGCAGCTAAAACTTATCATCTCAGAGGTCTGCCCCCCATCCTCTCATGGATGCTGACTTCATTTCAGCAGTAAGGGCTGCTGAGCAGGGTGTGCATCTGTTCTGAGCCTTCATGCTCACCAGTGTTAGCATAAATGGGGACTGGCAGTGGTTTGTAACGCTCGTCTGTAACCTGCAGCAGTTCAGGAGCCGATACACTTCCAGCTCAGCTGATCTTGCCACAGGGGCAGCAATCTGGGGAGCGGTGGGGCTGCGGTGGTTTGGGTTAAGCCTGCCTGCAGACATGGTTACAGCTGTCGGTGTGGGCAGTGCTGAACAGGGCTGTCTGCTGGAAATGAGTGTGTTGACTGCACTGAAAGGTTACGTTAGAAATGGTAAAACATGGGTTGTAAAACCTGCTCTGTTTAGCTTCTCTCTGTTTGTGCAGGGATTAAATAAAAATTGAAATCAAGCCTTCTCTGTGACAAAGCAAAAGCAGTTCTCAATGATTTCCACGTTTGTTTATTTTTTTCCTGAGGCATATGTGGTGCAGTTGATTCCCCAGATGTCACCAGAAACATCTCAAGGGCAATGAAAGTGAGTCAGGCTGTATGAGCATCTGTTGAACCTAACCTTATATTTCTCTTTCTACCCAGCTGAGTCGGAAGAATTACTTAGTGAAGAACCTGAAGAGGTTTCGGAAGCAGTTAGAAAGAGAGGCAGGAAAGCTTGAGGCAGCAAAATGTGACTTTTTTCCAAAGACGTTTGAAATGCCTTCAGAGTACCATTTGTTTGTGGAAGAATTTCACAAGAAGCCTGGCACCACTTGGATAATGAAACCGGTAAGTGTATGTTCCTCTGAGGAAAGTGAGACAGTGATGAATGGATGCCTTCATCCTGTGGAAGGAGAGGAAAATATGCAGGAAATCCACAGGAATAATGGCATGTAGCAAGGTGGTTAGGAGCAGCAATACTTCTGTCCAGTTTCCTGGCCAACACGTACTACCAAAACACTGCTTTTTGTGTCACAATTTATTTCAGCAGCTGAAAAACAGCTCATTTTATTTGTAGAGCCAAAGTTAACTCAATGGTGAGGGTATAAAGCGCAGGATTTTTGTGTGTAGGAACAGATTGTGCTCTTAGGGATTGTTGCTATGGGGCTTCGGCCAAGTTCATGCTCTGAAATATTTCAGTTCAGCTGCAGGTGTACAAGAAGGTGTGTGTGTATGTAGGGCAGCTGTCTAATCGGGCTTCTGGTTAAGCAGTATTTTAAGGCAGCTCCTAAAGATGGAGCTATGAAAACATCTGTTTGGTTTCAAGGAAATCCCACTACATTAGATGTCAGCCCTTGTAAATCCAGCCAACTTACTGAGTGGACTTTAATCTCTTAACGTTCTTAGGATGACAGGAAACTCCACGAGCAGCCTGGAGTGTAAATTGGGGTGGATTTGGTTGGCATTAGCTTTTTTTATGCTCTGCAGTTAGAGACCTGAAGTGTAGCCTCGTGCTCTGAATCCAATTTGTCCCACAAAACTTACGGCTATGTGGAACTGTGCTGATTGAAGCAACTTCCAATTCAGCCAGCGTCCTTGGGAACCAAGAAAAAACTGTACTATTTCCTTTACAAATCTCAATGTAAAGCTGAGAAATGTCTTGCTTCTGCCAGTTGATTCAGGCCGTGTAATGCCATGAGTATCATGCCATGGTGCATAATTAAAAATACACTGATCTGTGGGACTGCGAGAGGACAGGCACGTTGCTTTGTGCTGTAGGTCTGGCAAGAAGGTTGGGACAGGACAACTTGCCGTAGCTGCGAGTCAGACCCATCAGTAAGGGCATGCTTCTGAGAAGAAAATGCGAGGTAATTATGCAAACTAACATGTGAATTACAGCCAGGAGGATAGCAGCTAGTGATTATCCAACTCTGCAAATGGGGATGTGTTAATTGTCAATGGAAAACCTTATATTAAGCTGATTTTTATGGCCACAACCTCAATTAAAATGGTGAAAAAAACAGCATACGGTAAACAAGGATATATGAAAAGCCAGTGATTACAGGGATTTTACCAACTTCTTAAATGAAATAGTTTGTGAGTGACCTGAGAAGTTCACAAACAAGTAAAAATAACTCTGGTGCTCGTTCTGTCGGTCTGTGTTCTTGAGCAGCCCCACGTAGTGATGTCTTGGCCTGCCTCCTCCCATGCTTGGGTACTATAGGTCAGGATGTGCACGGTGCCAGAATCTGTAGGAATCTGGACTTTCTTTGAAGGTGTTCTGGGGAGTCTTGCTTCTTGGGTGGCTTATCCAGACCACTTCTCACTTGCTTTTAATACATAGCACAAACTAGGCTGGCTTCAGGTTTGTTCTGCTCTTGCTTGCCGTAGCTCTCTGACATCTTTCATGACTTCCCTGTTTAATTAAGTTCTGTAGCATACACAAATTTCAAGTGTGACTTAAAAATTCCCAACAACATATGTTGTGTTACTTATATTTCTGCAAGCATGTGACAGAGTTGTTTATTCGTTACTATGGAACTTCCCATAGGCTGTCTGCCTGCTTTGCCCTTTCCACCAGGAATTCTCCTAGCACTTGTAATCGGAGCGTTTAGCACTTGAGAGCTGCTGTTGGATCCCTTCGTTTTCTCCCTGTCCCCATAACATTAAATAAATACGCTTACATACAAACAGATGATGAATCGGGTTATGCAGGGCTGCTATGCTGAAACTCTGGGGAACAGCAGGAAATCCTAACGTGAAAGCAAGTAACTGCTTCTCTATGCTGTAGGTTGGCAGGTCTCAAGGTAAAGGAATCTTCCTGTTCCGAAAACTGAAGGATATCGTTGACTGGAAGAAGGTGAGAACAACTGTCTTCTCCTTAGGCAATCTTGTTCTTTTGCTATTCTTTCATCCCCTATTTTTGCCAATGACTTGTTCTGTCCTCTGCAATATTCCTTTGCTGTTCCCTCGAGTGACAGCAAAGCTTCTTAGAGTGGGTTTTCCCAAATAATTGGATATTTTATCTGGGATCTGACTTCTTAAATGGAGACAGAGCATCCAGAAGAAAACGAGTGTATGTGGGGAAAGATGGTGGAAAAACACTTTCTTGAAAGGGGAAACTGCATGTTGTTTCTCTCACAGGATGGTGGCCGCACAGAGGAGCAGAAAGATGAAACACAAATAGAAACTTACGTAGCCCAGCAATATATTGAAAATCCATACTTAATAGGAGGTAAGATGCCCATCCAAGCCTCTGCTTTTCTGGTTTGGGGAAAAATTACCCTAACCTACGGGATTCCCCCTGGACAGAGAGGACACCGTAGGTTGTTCTCTGTGCTGAACCATATGTGGCTAACTTCCTGGAGTGACCTGTTTCTGGGCCTATAAATAATAAATAGTCATTCAATTGTTAATAGTCATTGACCTGGAATAGTGGTCCTACTGGTGTTCTTAATATTAGATAAATGTTCCTGATTCTAAAAAAAAAAAAAGTATGAATTTCAGTCCTCTACCTTTGCGTGCTTATTTAGATATAAACTGATATTGGGTACTTGTAGGTAGCAGTACCAACAGCTGCATTGCATTATTTTTCTGTTCTTCATAGGTCGAAAGTTTGACTTGAGAGTTTATGTTCTAGTGACATCCGTAAGTGCAAGCCACCGTTACTAAATTCTTACATCAAAACTGGATTTTTCCCTCGGTGCTCAGTTGTTCCTTTCCTTTTCTCCCAGTACATCCCACTGAAGGCCTGGTTATACAGAGATGGATTTGCTCGCTTTTCCAATACACGATTTACTCTGAACAGCATAGATGATCACTGTATCCTACCTGTCTGTGTGTGTGGTAAGGAGGGGTAAGAAAATAAATGTACAGTTTTACTGCTTGGTATTAGATACATCAGCTGAGCCTTGTCAGTTCTGACACCTGTAGGATTCTCCTGTCCTCCTGCTGCTGCTGTTATTCTGTTTCTCCTGTCTCTTCTTCACTGGAAGGCTGGTGTCACCAGATCATGGGAAATGTCAGTTTGACAAATCAGCTAGGAACCCATGCTGAAATGTCAGTCCTGATTTTATTGTTAGTGGTTGAATTTTGGCTGCCTTTCCCCTTCCTTAGCTTCAGAATGGAAAGACAGAGTGATTCATGGGATAGAACTATTTGATTTCCTATGTGTCACGCTTGTTACTGTATTGAGTTTGATAGCTTTTACTTGATTAACACATCTTCCCAAAAGGTATCTGACCTTAATTTGATGGCTTAGGAGACAGGAAAATCCATCACATCTCTCACGGAAAGTTCAGCAGAGTTCAAGCGTGCTCTGAACGACCCAAAGCTGTACCAGGATGGGGGTACAGCAGTCTTGGGTGGGGGTGTACTGGGGTCTGGAGGCACACCTACATGAAGAGCTTCATCCCAGCCAGGAGGTACATGGTTTGTTCAGGGCAGTCACTCTTTCAAGAATGCTGTTTGGAAGGTGACTGCTCTTTTATTTTTTCCTGCAATTGTTAGTAAGATATGCAGTGCTATATATAAGCTCAGGTGGCTGCAGCCTCTGATTACAGACAAGGAGGATAATTAATTAGTACTGAGGCAAAGGAGGATGGTGTAAAGTAAAAATTCAGCATTTACTTGTTCAGCATCTGTGTGTCTTTGATCCTTATCTCTGCTTTATGCCAGATGTTCATCTCACCAATGTGGCGGTGCAAAAGACTGCTCGTGATTATGATCCCGAGAAGGTGAGCACGTGTGTGTTGTCTGCAGACTATTCCCCTGATGCCTGCCATTTGGGCTCTTCTGGCAGATGCGAGCAAGCTGACCTCATCCTGCCAGCTGCCATGCTGTGGACATGTGCGGCAGCCACTTAAATGTGCTGCCTTGTCTCCAGACACCCATAAATGTGATTTCATTGATAGGAGAGAGGCTGGGCGAGTGCTCTGCTTTAACTATTGCATTGCAGCCGTCTGCTCATCTGCAAGGCTGATGGTTTTGACTTTAATAGCTTTCTGCTCAGAGCTCTTCTGTGCTGTAGATACCTTATCGCTTGGCCCTTCATTTCTAAGACCTCAGTGATACAACAAGGTTAGCACTGCTGCACACAACTGTCACTCTTAAGCCTTATGTCTCAAGAGTTGGCAGCCGAAAGAGAAAATAATCGTAAATGAGATGTCAGATTCCTACTGAATCTGAGATGAGGGTTGACGTTTGGGAGTAATAGAGGATTGTGTTGAACTTCCTGTTTTTATAGTGTATCCCCTCTTATAAATCTCTCATCTGTATGGAAAGGAGGGTCTCTGCAATACCCTGACAGAAGATAAGATGGTGATTTGCTGTTTGGGAACTTCTGATGGGGACCTGGAGACTTTTTTCCCCCTTCCCCTATAGCTATACAACAATCAAGCTTGAATTGCTTAACTGCAGCGTGGGGTTAGTGGCCCTTGCCTTCTGGTCTCTGGGTTTTTGCTAAGAATTCTTGCTTGGCTGTAGAGACTATGGAGTGATGACTGAAAATCATGCAGATAAAATGTGTGTTCACCCATTGGGAACAGCTTAGTATAACTGTGTTTGGATGTCTCAGGGCTGCAAGTGGATGATTCAGCAGCTCAGGCAGTACTTGACTGCCAAGCATGGAGCAGGATCGGTGGAAGTTCTCTTCGCGGATATGGACAACATTTTCATCAAGAGCCTCCAGAGTGTTCAGAAAGTGATTATCAGTGACAAGCACTGCTTCGAGCTCTACGGCTATGACATCTTGATCGATCGGAATCTGAAACCGTAAGGGTGTTAATGAACATAAAAGGGATTATAGTAGCAGGCCAGCTGCTTTCCTTGTGGTGGTGGGGACACCTCGAGATGCTTCTGTCTTCAGCGTAGATAACTGCTTGCAGGCTGGCTACAAGAGCCAGTCCAGGAGCTGCAAGTGAAGCATGGAGGGGTTTGAATTGTTTTAAGCACAGGAAGCTGAAATACAGAAGGAATACAGCTGGTTTTGCTCAGAGTGTCAGGGTGCATTAAAAGGGATCCGCACCATCTGAGTTTGTCTGTAGGATCTCTAGCACTGCATTGTGGAAACCTGCTAACTTGGTTATTTCTGTGATGTTTTCCCCCAGAGTATCAGTGTATCACAGCAATTGCTGGAGGTGGGGGGGTTACAATCATCTTTTCTGCTGCAATATAAATGAGGAGCAGTGTCCTGTTGGCAATGATAAACGCCCAGCCAGCACCATTAGGCTGCTAGCACTAAAACGTGCCCCTTGTGTTTGTGGTACGCTGGCTAAAAGGTAGACCCCAACTGGAAGAGGTGCCTTTTGTTAGCTGTAGAGAAGAAGAGGCTTCACAGGAGCTGAGGATGTTTAAAACAACCAAACAACCCCTCTTCCCAAAAAACTGAAAACATAATTTGACTCTATTGAGAGATCTTTAAATTCAGCTTTTATTCACTAAGTGAAAAATATGACTAAACGTTCAGCTGAAATTCTCAGGTTTTTATCTGCTGCATACGCAACCCAAGGATTGCAACAGCAGGAACCTGAAAGTGCAACTGATTTGTCATTACATGAGCTGAGAAAAATAGAAACAGCAAGTAGTACTTCAGAGATGACAATGAGATTGGATAATTCTTTCAGCCTTAATCATATAAAATGCAAATAGTACCATAGGTAAGGAAATGTCCCTCAGATATGACTTATGTTGATGGTGTTCTCTTATGAAATGTCTTTAATTTTTTATTTTTTTTTTTAACTCTTTCCTCTACCAGCACACAGTAGCTGGCATACCTGTAACAGCCCCGTGTCCTGTCAGCATCGGTCTAATATTTCACATTGCACCACTGGAGACAGCTTTATCTCGAATGAGCAAGTAAATGCAGCTCAGCTGTGGTCCTGGTAGCTCTAATTTGTACGGTCTACTCTGTCCATAGCCTAAAACCGAATTACTGCTTAGGCAGCATGCACATAAACAGCTGGAGTGACTTCAGTTCATTGGGAAACAAATCCAAGTGGTGAATCGGAATAAAAGCCACTGATGTTACAGTGCTTAGAGGCCACTGCTGCTGTTTGCTGCGTTTACTTGGCTCTTGTAGGAGAGCTATTTGAATGCTGTTGTGCTAGCAAACTGCTCCCAGGATACATTTGCATTCTTCCACCAAAAATGGGTTAGTGCTTATTCTGTGAATTACCCTCAGTGTTTACTGCTTCATCTAGAGTTTGGTTTTAACTTGCATGACTTTCTGGATGCTAGAGGGATTTTTTCTTTATTACTGTTGAGAACAGGAATAGAAACTTTGCAATAAGCTCAGAATGTTCTTTGGCTTGGTGTGCGGTAAAGAGATTTGGGGTTAGATTTCCTATTGCTTCACACTTATTATCCTGCTAGCAGGCAGGAGGGTTATTGCGGATGGACGCTTCTGTTAGATGAACCGCTGACAAAACTGCCTGTTTCCCCCTAAGTTACTCTTGTCTTATCTCCTCAGCTGGCTCCTGGAGGTAAATGCTTCACCCTCCCTTATTGCCAGTAGCCAGGAGGACTATGAACTCAAGTGTCATCTTCTCAAAGACACACTTCATATTGTGGACATGGAAGGCAGGTGGGCAAAGAAGCTTATGACCTTCTAAGGGTTTTTATTAACGTGTGGAACGGGTGGTCTGGTTCTGTCCTGTCAGTTCTTGGCAAGTGATTGTAATGCTCTAAGCTTTGTAACTGTTAAATAACGAATTTCCAGAAACGGAGCAAAGCAAGCAAGCCTACTGCCACTTCAGTGGGGAAAACAGAACAGCCCAGGGTTGCAAAGGGAATGAAGTCAGTGTTAGAGCTGGGACTTGCACAAGAACTCTTTCAGTTTCTTCTGCATTGTGCCTCCCACACCTATCGCTTCTGGAGCAATCTGTTCCAAGAAGCTTGTCTTGCATCACTTTGTGATTGACTTTACAACTGTGCTAACCTCAGATATTAATAGTAGAAAGATGTCCACTGCTTTCAGCTGTTCAGCTCTGTCTCTGACAGGGAGTTTATTCCCGTGCACAGACAGATAATCATTACTCAGGTACTTCAGTTCATGTATTTGATGTTGTAGGCTGACAGGGAAGGAGAAGCGTGTTGGAGGCTTTGATCTGATATGGAACGACGGGCCTGTCAGCAGAGAGGGAAACCTGGGTACCCTGGTGAATGGGAACTTCATGGCAAACACACATCTAGGTACGTACTCACCCAGCACTGGCAGGGTGCCCTGCTCACATCCTTTCCTCACTAAGAGGAGAGCACGCGCCTTGCACTTGAGAACAAGAGAACAGGGAGTGTGGACTCTGGGATTAAGGGTCCAAAAGGAACAAACGTTTTCCAAAAGCAGAGATAAGCAACCAGACTGCAGAAGCACTGTTGAAAACAAGCACATAAATGTAGGGGAAACAACTTTGTTTGTAGCCCTGCTTTTCAAGTTTTAAGTCACCGCAGTTTTTTCATATGTCAGTATCGCAGCAAATCTGCTCTACAATGATTGTGGTAACCATTTACTAAGCACTCCCCTAAAGCTAGCTGTGTATCTAACTGTTGTGAAGTAGTACATGGATTCTGAAGTCATACTTCCGAGAGGCTAATGTATCTTAAGTTTACTTTGTAGTGCTCAGTGTGCATACGATCGTCGCTGCCTGTAGTTTCTAACTAAAAAAACACGAGTACAGCAATTATCTTACCCTTCACAGGCATGAAGAGTAAGGTCATGTGCAACTCCCCTGTTGGTATTTTCATTGCAGGCTGCTATAATGACAGGAAGCAACAACTGAAGCAGCTTTTCAGGACTCTTTCTGCGCAGCAGACAGCATGAGGCCGATACCAAGCTTGGGTTGGGAGATCACCGTAAGTGAAGTCTGTGGCGTCTCTCCCTCTCTTCCTCATATCATGCAACAGCAGTTCCCATCTCTCTCTGGACATGTCTGCCTCAGCACAAGGCTGCTGACCTTGTTTCCTAAGGGTTCCCCAGCTGGGAGGCTGCAACGGGCTTGAATAAAATATTTCATAATGGCCAACACAAGACACTCACAAGTGATGCTGGCTTCTCAGCTGACCACCTGCAACCTATACAGACTGGGAGAAAATAAAGCAGCTAAACACATTCTGCATAGCAAAACAAAGCTTTTAAGGAAGGCGGGCACCTGATCCTTCTGCTGCTACTACTATGGAAACATGTCAGACCATAAAACCTGTTGCCATGATACTGTAAAAATAACCTTGCCATCACATGTTAAGGAGACATTTCCTGGCTGTACTACGCAGGTTATGTAAGAGCGTAGTTACAACACAGGCACTTGGCAGGGTACTGCCATTCACTTCCAGAAGAGATGCAGCTTTCTGAAAAGCTCCTGGTAAGACAGATCAGATAATAAGCTGATGTTACTCTTAATTTATGTGTCTGAAGCGTAAGCCTGAAGTGGACAGCCTTGCTTCTTGCAGTTGAACACTTAGGCTATGTTGTGTTAGTTGCAGAATTTTAAAACTTAGATCAAATAAATGGTAGTTAGCTTTAAAAATTTTAAAAATGAGCAATCCCTCAGTTTTAGTGAGTCTGACAGGATTTTTTTTTTTAACTCTGCCTAATTTGAAGTGCATGTGGAGCTAAACAAGGCAATGTAGGGCTGACTGGAGGACACACCTCTGACCTGTTGGAAGGTGGGTCATGGAACCAAGAAAAGGGTGATGCTGTGTGAAGTTTGACATGGCTGTGCAAAAGCTGCAGGAAGGCACAGAGCAAGGGCAGAGTCAGATCCAACTTTGTGTTAAGTTTGACAGGACAGGTGAGCTAGCTGGAGAGACAGTGCAACATTTAAAGTCCTTAAATTACATTAAAGACAGTCTTTACAGAAGCTTGGAAAACAAAGAGCAGATGGTTTCCTATGCAAAAAAAAATATAAATCACTGTAGTCCATTACTAATTGTGATATTTTTTTTTAATTAAGTTTTTAAAAAACTTAAGGTCTTAAACAACTTATAGTGGGGTAGCAAGTCCAGACTAAAGAGGGTAGTGCAGAAGACAAATTTTAAAGCTTTTGAAGAAATCACTGGTCATGTCAACTGGCCAGGTGCAGTGACCCTCCCTATTCAGCCCCCCTTAAGCTGCGGGGTTTTGTTAATGTACATACATTTTATTCCTTCATCTTGTTCTTGAAAGCCTCACTTTCTGTGTTCTCTTGCCTCTCAACTTGACAGCAGAATGTGTTTTCCCTTGGAGACTAAAAGGATGCTGCCTTCTGTCCGTCCCTATACCTCTTTAAGGAGATTCCTGACATGTTTCAGATGCACAGTTTCACTTTGTTTTAATACCACAGGCACACACAGCTCTTCTATGCTTTGGGCACGCTGTGGATTTACAATTCCTCCTACTCCTGTTCCTAGCTCTGAAGCCAAGCTACAGAAGCTCTCACACAAAAATCTGAAAACACACACACACAGTTAGGAATGTCCCGCAGCTCTGATTTTAATAATCCCACTTGCAAGAGGGTGTTTGTCAGAGGCCATGAATGCGCCTGTGTTCCAGCATTGCCTCTGCACTGCTCCACCAGCAAGGAGCAGTCCCCAGCAAGGAGCAGGAAGGGTTTAGAGCCAGAGGAGCTGCAGCTGAGGATTCAAATGTTTCCCTGTGTCCACTCAGTCCGTCGCCTGAGAGAAGCTCCAGCAACACAGGCGTTCTGGAAATCTTTGAGGCTGTGGCTGACAGAGTGTGAGTGCCACGAGTGACACCCTGAGCACAGCACGTCCAGTGGGGTCTGCAAACAGCCCCAGCGATGGCACCACGGCCTCAACCCTCCAGTATGCGATTGATCAGCTTCATTTCCTCAGCGGTCATGGGGTTCAGGTTAAATCCCTTCAGCTCAGCTTTACCTGTGAGAAGGTGCAGAAAATCAGGGGTTTGCTGTAAAATAAATTAAGTAGTCCCCATCAAACTGTTTTGGGGAGGGCAGTGGCAGCACTGGAAGCTGATACAAGATTCCCAATGTGCTTTAGGAATATATTCAGCACGCTGCTGGGTGACAGCTTCCTAGCAAAAGCAGCACGGTATTGCTGGAACAGGGCAGGAGTTGCAAAGTGAGAGGAAAAGGGGCCCCAGGAGCCTCCAGACCTCGAGGTTCTGGAACCTCCTCCTGACATCTGCTCTCAGATGCTCGCTGTAGGGCTCAAGAACAGGAGCGTTTACCTTGAGCCTCGTAGAGACGGTTGACCTTGACGCGCAGCTCCTTCCGCAGCTTGTTTATCTCCTCATCCAGATGCTCCTGATCTGAGAAAAAAGGGATAGGGATAAGAAGGAGTAGGGGCTTTGGGGTTCGCATAGGAACAACACACAACCTGCGGGATGCTCGGTGCTGAAGCGCAGACCTGGGGGCAGGAGGGGCCCTTCCTGGGCTGTGTTCCTGGACCTCCAGGTCCCACCTCAGCCCTGAATGCCCGCAGGCACTGAGCTTCTGGCAGCCTTGAGCCAAAATGTGCTCTGGGACCGTGCCCTGGGCAGTGTGACAATGACAGTGGCCAGTCTTGGTGAGTGTTTTGGGGCACTGCCAGAAATTAACACAGCAGGGAAGCGTTGCCCTGCTTATCTCCATCCTTATCGGGGTCTCCGTACCCTTCTGCATCATCTCCTTGGTTCGAGCCTTCGGCAGCTCCACGAACATGTTCCCGAAGCACACCATGGCTTTTCCTGCGGGGCACAGAGACACGAGAAGGGGCTCAGCACAGATCCACTGCCTCTCCCCCCCTCCACAGCACCACCGGGCTCCCGGTGCTCGCCACCGACACCGGGGCAGGGCTCGGGGCCCGGCCTCACCCTCGGGCTCCGGGTCCTTGTGCAGCGCCCGCAGGGCCTCGCGGTTTCGGTTGCGTTTCACGTCCAGGTCCACGATCTGCGGGAGGGACAGAGGAGGCCTTAGCCGGGCCTTACCGGGCCTCACCGGGCCTTACCGGGCCTTACCGGGCCGTACCGGGCCATACCTGCTGCCGTGCCGCCAGCACATCCTCAGCCAGCTCCTCCACCTCGGCCAAGTAGCGCAGGACGAAGCCCGGGTCCCTCGCCATGCCCGGCGGCCCTGCTCCCGGTCCCGGTCCCGGCCCCGCTCCGTCCCCGCTCCCCGCCCGGTGGAGGCCGCGGCCGCGTTCCCGAGTTCCGCGCCCGCAGGGGCCGGGCCCGCAGCGCGCCCCCGCGCGGCCGCAGCGGCACCGGGCCGGGAACGGAGCCCGAGGGCCTCAGGGCCGGGGCCTGCAGGCCCAGGAGGCCCAGGGCCACCAGGCCCGAGGTCACCAGGCCCAGGGCCACCAGGCCCGGGGTGCCCAGGCCCGGCACCCCCCGGCCGGGGACAGTCTCAGAATCACCTCGGTTGGCTCCGGGATCACCCAGCCCAGCCTCTGAGCCAGCACTGCCCAGTCCCCCACTGACCCCATCGCTGAGCTCTGCATCTAAACGTCTCTTAAATACCTCCCTGGAGGTATTGAAATAGTTATTTAATAACCCTCCAGGTATATAAATACCTCCCTGGATGTATTTAACCTCAACCACTTCCCTGGGCAGCCCATCCCAGTGCCTCACTACCCTTTCCAGAAAGAAGTTTTTCCTAATATCCAACCTAAACCTCCCCTAGCTCAACTTTAGCCCATTCCCCTCGTCCTGTCACCAGGAACATAGGAGAATAGACCACCCCCCACCTTGCTGCAGCCTCCTTTGAGGTACCTGTAGAGCATGATAAGGTCACCCCTGAGCCTCCTCTTCTCCAGGCTGAACAACCGCAGCCCTCCAGGCCAGGGATTTCCAGGCCAAGCACCTCCAGGCCAAGGGCTTCCATCGCCTCCTTCCCACCCTTCTGATGTCCCTGCTGCTGCTGCGAGCTGACCCCGGCAGAGGGAAGGGGCCCTGCCCTGCTCAGCCTCGCCTCGAGCACTGCATGCACCACAGGACGAGGACATCAAGCTGTTAGGGAGGGACAGGACCCGAGGGAACGGCGTGGAAGGGTCCGGCTGGGTGTCAGGGGAAGGTTCTGCACCCAGAGGTGGTCGGGCACTGCACGGGCTCCCCAGCTCACAGCACCGAGCTGCCGGAGTTCAAGGAGCGTTTGGGCAGGGTTTGGGTTTGGGTGGTCCTGTGAGGAGCCAGGACTCCTGCTGGGTCCCTTCCAACCCGGGGTATTCGGTGGTGGCACCCAGTGGGGTGGCCACAGGGCACGGGGACAGGGGCGCAAGGTGGTGGCTGGCTGGTGGTCACCACACTTTGTGCGCAAATAATCCCCGGAGGAAGATTAACCAGATTGGAAGATTACTGGCCCTAATCGCATAAGGTCATTTGTTCCAGTTAACTGGAGAGATCTCAGTCTGCGGCAGCCTGTGCTAAAATAAGAAGGCTCCCAGTGAAGTGATGGAAATGAGCACTTATGCACAGCATCCTGGCCGGGATGGGAGTGATTCAGGCTTGCTTTGGATTTTTTTCCTGACATCAACCAAAAGAACCAGCAGGATCGGGGCTAAATGCCAAAGCTGAAAAACACTCCCTTTGGTGTGGGGGCTGCCGGCTGGAGATTTCAGGGCTGGATTGGGAGGCAGCTGCTCCCCATCCGCAGCCCCAGCGTTTGCTCCTGCAGAGTCCCTGCGCCGTGTGGGCGCTGAGGGGCACGGCACGCGTGGGGCACGGGGCAAGGACCTGCCCTGCCCCTGCAGCCTCACACCGCAGTGTCCACCGCAGAGCCACCGGCTCCAGCTTTCTGCCTGGCACGAAGGCAGCATTTGATCCGTAGTGCTTTGATGGGATCAGAAGGCAGCCTGCCCGATTTTCGTGTGTGCTGGGAGCATGACTAGAGCTGGAGGTGGATTTACCTCCCGGGGACACAGACTTCTCAGAGCAGTGACAAAAAGCTCCATGGGTAGCAGAAGCCCAATGGGGATGGGGATGGGATGGGACGGGGATGGGGATGGGGATGGGATGGAGATAGAGATGGGAATGGGGATGGAGATGGAGATGGAGATGGAAATGGGGATGGAGATGGAGATGGAGATGGAGATGGGGATGGGGATGGGGATGGGGATGGAGATGGGGTGATATTGGGATGGGATGGGATGGGGATGGGGATGGGGATGATATTGGGATGGGATGGGGATGGGATGGGGATGGGGATGGGGTGATATTGGGATGGGATGGGATGGGGATGGGGATGGGGATGATATTGGGATGGGATGAGGATGCTCCACCACATCCTGGCAGCAGTGGGGGATGCTCGGTGACCATCCCTGGGGCAGTCTGTGCTGGTTGCCAGCACACACCGAAATGCAGGCAGGGTTTCACCAGGGCTGTTCGGATGCAGGGGGCACAGCTCAGCACAGGCACGTGGGGAGCTGCAGCAGGAGGCATGGCAAAGCCCTGGGCACCTGGAGAACGACCCCAGGGCAGCAGCGGCTGCCAGTGCCGTGCTCTGCGGGGCCTCTCCTGAGCCAGGCTCCGAGCCAGCCACAAATCATCGCGGCCTTCCTCCTCCTCCTGGATCCGGCGCCACGGGCAAGCCGCTTGCTTGGAAGCTGGACTCAGCCCGGAGCCCGGAGGCCCATTTGGATTGATTGCATGTTGATGTGCCCTCCTGGGAAACTCTGCAGCCGGAGCGAGCGGCCACCCGCCCGCTGCCACGGGCTGGTTTGCATCACTCCGTGTTTTGCTGTGCAAAGAGAAGGTTTGGGTTTCAGCGTGTTCCTTTTTTTTTTTTTTTCCTTGCAGCACTTTTATTTATGCAGCTAGAAACCCTCCCTGCCTGCCTGCTGACAGCTGCATGGGAAGGCTTCGGGGATGTTTATAGTGTTTTTTTTTTTTTTCTTTCTCATTTTTCCCTGTGACTGCCAGGGTCTGTTGTTAAGATAAATCAGACATCAAACCACAGCCACCGTGTTTTCAGACTTTGGACATTCAGCTCCACTCTTGGAGGGGGCGTTTTGGGATCTGTGGAGGAAGGCAACTCCTTTTCCCCCTGGTTTTCCCATCCCCTTGCTCTGGGGCTGTGCCCACCATCACTGGTGCCCCATCACCCAGCCAGGACAGACCCCTTGGGGCTGGGGGTGCCCAGCAGCGCTCAGATCCCCCTCATCGCAGCGAGTTGCAGCAGGCTCTGGCCAGTGGAGCCCTCCTTCTGGAGGAGCCCTGGTGCTGAGCTCCTTTCTTCTGGCTCCGGGATGCCAGGAGCGTCCCCTCCCCCAGGCAGGCGTTTGCAGAGGGGATCTGTCAGGAGCAGCTCAAGGTTAGGCATTTCGGTTGCATTTCCCATGCTAATACATGCAGCAGCACCGGGAGCCTCGCGGGGGGCCTGACTCTGCTCCCCATGGCTGATGAAGCCGTCCTCCCCCACCCCGCTGCCAGGCACCCGGCCCCTCCCCAGCTTCGGGCTGATCCCCTGGGGCCCCCGGTGCTGCTGGCACCAAGTGGCCTCAGCACTTCTCCTTTGGGGGGCTCCTGGTGGGATTCCCCAGAGCTGGGACCCTCCTGAAGCAGGGCTCGGGGCCAGCCCAGTGGGTCCTGGCTGTGGGGGGGGGAAAAACCCCAACGGCTCCCCCCTTCCCTCCCTCAGGCTGCCCTGGCAGGGGTCTGGTGGCCTTGGGCAGGAGCCTGGTGGCTGTGTCCTTGTGGGGTCCCCATGTCCCTGTGGTGTCACCATGTCCTTTGCTGTCCCCATGTCCCTATGTCCTCATGGTGTTTCCATGTCCCTTGGTGTCCCTGTGGTGTTCCCATGTCCATGGGGTGTCCCCATGTCCCCATGTCCTTTGGTGTCCCCATGTCCCTGAGTCCCTTGGTGTCCCTTTGGTGTCCCCATGTCCCTATGGTGTCCCCATGTCCCCATGTCCTTTGGTGTCCCCATGTCCCTGAGTCCCTTGGTGTCCCTTTGGTGTCCCCATGTCCCTGTATCCCTTGGTGTCCCCTTGGTGTCCCCTTGGTGTCCCCATGTCCCTTGGTGTCCCCGTGTCCCTGTGCCCCTTGGTGTCCCCTTGGTGTCCCCATGTCCCCTGTCCCCACATCCCCACGCTGCTGCAGCAGCGGCACCGCACCCCCGTGCGCCCAGCCCCCCCCCGGACCCTCCCCGTTCCGTGGGGCCGGCCCCGGGGGCTGGGCCGTGCTCGGGGCCACTCCCGGTGGCACCGCGGGGGCTCGGCGGGGAACCGGGACCGGACCGGGGGTACCGGGAGGGGGGGGACGAACAGGGGGGGGTGAGAGGAGACCCTGCCGGTACCGTAGCGAGGAGAGGGAAGGGGAAGGGAGACACAAGGGGGGGAGCATCCCGGAGGGGGGCGGTGCCGGTGCCGGTTCCCGGTGCCGGTTCCCGGTGCCGGTAGCGGTTCGGCGGGGCTCGGGGCGAGGCCGGCGGGGGCGGGCGCTGCCGGGGCGGGTTCGTCGGTGCCGTCCTCCCCCCGGAAGTCTCCCCCGCTCCCTCCTTTCTCCTCCTCTCCCCGCAACATGGCCGCGAAATCGGACGGCGGCGGCGGCCCGGCCGTGCGCTTGGAGAGCCCGGGGGGCGGTGGAGATGGAGGAGGAGGAGGAGGGGGCGGCGGAGGGGGGACCCGGAGGGCGGCGGAGGGGGTCGCGTCCCCCCCGTCCAGGCGGTACCGGCTGCGGGACGGCTGCTGGGTGCTGGGCGCGTTGCTCGTTTGCTTCGCCGACGGCGCCTCGGACCTGTGGCTGGCGGCCCACTACTACGTGCGGGGGCAGCGCTGGTGGTTCGGGCTGACGCTGCTCTTCGTGCTGCTGCCCTCCCTCGTGGTGCAGCTGCTCAGCTTCAGGTGGTTCGTCTACGACTTCGCCGCCGCCGCCGCCGGCAGCACCAAGGACAGCGCCGGCAGCACCAAGGACAGCGCCCGCGGCCCCCGCGGCTGCTGCCGCCTCTGCGTCTGGCTGCTGCAGGGCTGCATCCACCTGCTGCAGCTGGGGCAGGTCTGGAGGTAAAAGGGGGTGAATTGGGGTGGAGGGGTCAGTGGGTGGGGTGGGGGGGTCATTGGGGTGGAGTGGGATGGGATGGGATAGGATGGGATGGGATGGGATGGGGCTGCAGGGCTGCATCCACCTGCTGCAGCTGGGGCAGGTCTGGAGGTAAAGGGGGTGAATTGGGGTGGGGGGGGTCACTGGGTGGGGTGGGGGGGTCACTGGGATGGGATGGGATGGCGCTGGGGGGCTGCATCCACCTGCTGCAGCTGGGGCAGGTCTGGAGGTAAAAGGGGTGGGATGGGGTGGGGGGGGTCACTGGGTGGGGTGGGGGGGTCACTGGGATGGGATGGGATGGCGCTGGGGGGCTGCATCCACCTGCTGCAGCTCAGACAGGTCTGGAGGTAAAGGGGGTGGGATGGGGTTGGGGGGTCGTTGGGGTGGGGTGGGATGGGATGGGATGGGGATAGGGGGCTGTATCCACCTGCTGCAGGTGGGAAAGGTCTGGAGGTAAAAGTGGTGGGATGGGGTGGGATGGGGGTCATTGGGGTAGGGTGGGATGGGATAGGATGGGATGGGATGGGGCTGGGGGGCTGCATCCACCTGCTGCAGCTAGGAAAGGTCTGGAGGTAAAAGGGGGTGGGGTGGGGGTCATTGGGGTGGGATGGGATGGGATAGAATGGGATGGGGCTGCAGGGCTGCATCCACCTGCTGCAGCTGGGGCAGGTCTGGAGGTAAAAGGGGGTGAATTGGGGTGGAGGGGTCAGTGGGTGGGGTGGGGGGGTCATTGGGGTGGGATGGGATAGGATAGGATGGGATGGGATGGGATGGGGATAGGGGGCTGCATCCACCTGCTGCAGCTGGGGCAGGTCTGGAGGTAAAAGGGGTGGGATGGGGTGGGGGGGGGTCACTGGGTGGGGTGGGGGGGTCACTGGGATGGGATGGGATGGCGCTGGGGGGTTGCATCCACCTGCTGCAGCTCAGACAGGTCTGGAGGTAAAGGGGGTGGGATGGGGTTGGGGGGTCGTTGGGGTGGGGTGGGATGGGATGGGATGGGGATAGGGGGCTGTATCCACCTGCTGCAGGTGGGAAAGGTCTGGAGGTAAAAGGGGGCGGGGTGGGGGTCATTGGGGTGGGATGGGATGGGGATGGGGGCTGCATCCACCTGCTGCAGCTGGGAAAGGTCTGGAGGTAAAAGGGGGTGGGGTGGGGTGGGATGGGGGTCATTGGGGTAGGGTGGGATGGGATAGGATGGGATGGGATGGGATGGGGCTGGGGGGCTGCATCCACCTGCTGCAGCTCAGACAGGTCTGTTGGTACGGGGGGGTCACCAGGGTGGGGGAGGCTGGAGGGAGGGGCAGGGACATGGGGGGATGTAGGTGGAGTGGGAAGTGGCAGCAGGGGTCTGGGCAGCTGGGGTGGGCATGGGATCGATCCCGTGCAGCCACAGCAGGAGGGGCAGGGGGTAGGGACCCCCCCGGCAGAGCCGGGCTGGGGGTGCGGGTGGCCATGGGCACTGGGAGCCCACAGCCCCACTGGTGGCACAGCCCCACTGACCCCCACGGCCGGATCTTGGGGTTTTGGGGTGCTCCTGGCAGCCCCGAGCACTCCTGGCTCTGAGCCTCCCCCAGGCGCGTCCCCAGGCTCCTGCTTGCAGCCGGCTGGGGGTGCAGGGGGGGTGTTTGTGCCCCTGCCTGCCCCTTCCCGAGCCTGAGGCTGGGCAGGGAGGGCGAGCTCTGAGCTGGGGGTGCTGGGGGGCTGCTGGCAGGACGGTTTCCCTCTCAGCACCTTCCTCCCCTGCGCCGTGCCGCTCCCTCCTCGGCGCTGTAACGGAGCTGGCTCCTGGGGGGGCTGGGAGGGCGCGGAGACAATGGCAAATTCCTGAAACAATGCCCTGAGCAAACCACGCTCCCCGGGGGCTGCCTCGCTGCTGCGGCCCCTCACGAGCTCCCCGAGTCCAGAGGCTGCTCTCGTCCTCCTTGCTGTCTGCACACGCTTTTTTGCCGCTTTTCTTGGGATGCTCCAGGGAGCACCAACTTTGTTCCACGGCGCACCGTGCCAGGGAGGCTCCTGCCCCTTCCCTCCCCTTGCACTGCCCTTCCCCGCTCCGTAATGCCCAACGGGGGCAGGATGGGTGCAAGGCCGGCCTGGCCTTTGTGTGCTTGGAGAGCTGGGGAGGGAGAGGAGGGGAGGGAGAGGATGGGGCTCCAGCCGTGCTGGGGTCAGGGTTTTGCTCCCGTTTGTGTCGGCCACGGAGGCTCTTAAGCCAATTAAAGTGGGAACTCGGCACCGACCCTCCCGGACATGCCGGGCGCAGGCTGCAGCTGAGGCTCTTCCTAATCTCGGGATTTGGGATTTGCTCGGGTGACCAGTTAAATGCAGTTCGCTAAACCCATTAGCGGGGTTGGATCCGGTGCAGGTGGATGTGACAGTTTAAGAAGTGCTGAATTATACCCGAATAAATACTGCATGTGCAGGGAAGGCTTTTCCCTGGGCAGGGCGCCGGGGCCCTGCTGCGCCCCTTGCCAAACACCTCCCCCTTCCCTGATTTATCTGCGCGGCCCTGGCCTGGGCAGCCCCGATTCCCTCGGCAGCTCTCACCCTACAGGATCGATCGCTGCGCAGCGCCGGCCCCAGCTGCGCCCCAGGCAGGACCCCCAGCCCACACCCACAGCAGCTGCCCGGGTGCGAAGGCGAGCTGGCCACGAGCACCGACCTGGAGACCGCCCCAAATTAAAGCCGCTGCGAGAATCCGCGGAAGGCAGCTGTAATCAGTGCCTTCACAACGCCCTGCCGTGGGTGCCCTCTGGAGACGTTTTGGGGGCAGGAACATGTGCTCGTGGCCGGCAGCCCCAGCGCAGGGCAGCGGGGAGCTGGCCAGGGGCAGGGGGCTGCTGGTGCCAGTCCCATGGGACGGAGCCTCCCCATGCGTCTGCTGGGGTTTGGCAGCTCAGGAGCTCCTACCCTCTCCGTTCACAGAAGGTCAGCAGCTTTTTTTGCCATGTGTAGCAATACCGAGGGGAAGGGAGCTCCGTGGGGACCTGGTCTCCATCGCAGGGACAACACCGGGAGCAGGAGGGACACGGGGCCCTCCTCCACGTGTTGGCGTGATGTCCGTGGCACTCGAGGCTCTCCCCGACCTGAGTTTGGGGGATGTGTGATGCCTTAGGATGGCTGCAGCAGGAGAGCAATCCTCTCCTTGTTTAAATCAAGGGATGACATCCCAAATTACCTTTCCGGGAAGCTGCACTCTGTATCACTCGCTCTTGGGCTGCTGGCTCCCTCCGGCTCCTTCACCTGGGGGCGGTGGCAGGTGGCAGTTGTTGTGCCAGGGCCCGGCTTTTCTTCCTGCACCTCTTTTCTCCCAACACTTGAGGTGTGGAGGCAGCCGTGGGCATTTCCCGGGGCTGATCCTGGGCACTAGGTCGGTGACGAGGGGCACTGGGGTGGCCGATGGCTGGAGCTGTGCCACCAGGACCCGCGTTGTGCTGCGGGGCTGGGGGCGAGCAAACGGCGCTGCTGCCCCGCGCCCGCCCCAGCCCTCGGTGGAGATTTTTGTCAGATTGGGCTTTTTAATACAAAGGAGGCAGTAATTAGCCCTAAGAGCTCTCTCGGTTGGTTTCTGCCTCATCATCAGTTTTTTTTGAAAATTAAATGATTTTTTTTTTTTTTTTTAAAGTAATTGATTCTGTATTTCTCGTGCAGCTGCTGCTGCGCCCGGTTCGTAAAAACCTGGCGGTGCGCGCGGGGCTGAAACACAAACCCTGCCGCCAAGCGCATAACAAACAAGAACCAACGTCTCGTTCTGGCAACTTGATGGGAGACGAAATCTCATTTTAACGAGCTCTACGGAGCTGACAGCGAGACGGGAGAATAATTGAGCCCCGCCAAAAGCGGGGGAGGCCGAGGGTCACTTGTTGAGTGCCGAGGAGCCGGGGACCACGCATGCAGGAGACGTGCACGGTTGTGGCTCCCTGTCCTGCTGCTGCCTTCGTGCTGGTGATGGATGTGAGCTCTGGGCATCACAGGGACGGCGCCGCTGTGGGGTTTGTGTGCGTGGGGCCATTGTGTGCTGCAGGCAGTGGGGTCATGGTGATGATGAGCCCGGTTGGTGACTGATTACAGGGAGAGGGCAGGGCTCCTGCCTCGGTGTCCTGGCTCTGCTGGGGCTGCGGGGCTTCGCTCCCGAGCCTGGTGCTGTTCCTCTCTGGCTGCGTGTTCCAGCCCCGCTTTTACGCTAAAGCAAAAAAAAAAGCAGGGACCAGGAGCCTGCGGGGTCACAGATCAGCACCTGGCAGCAGTTGGCACGTGGTGAAACCGGGCTGGAAGTACCAAAATCACACCGTTTGCTGACAGCAATGTCTTTGTGGGGCTGCCAGTGCTTGGAAGGTCCTTGCGAGGCTCTCAGGGAGGCATGGATGGGGCAGGTGGTGCCGGGCTCCTGGGGACTCCACCAGCCTCGCGGGGGGCATCGTGTGGGAAAGAGGCTTTGGTCCTTGCCAGGGTGCTCCCCCGGCGTGGGTCTGTGCTTTTCCAGCCTCACCACGGCTCTGCTGTCCCCTGCACGCTGAGCAGGGAGGGTTTTGGTGGCACCACAAGCTGCTGGTGACACCGGTCGTGTCCCTGAGCTGCTGGTGGAGCCCAGCTTCCCTCTCCCCCGGCCTCCCTCTGTCCCCACCGCTCTGCTTGGCCACCCGAGCCCCCTCCGGTGCCGACTCACGGCACAGCCCAGCAGGACGCAGCCGCTGCTGCCCGGCGCTGGGCTCCCCTCCAGAGAGAGGAGGCTGCAGCAGGAGCCATACGGAGCAGGGCTGCAGAGAGGGGGGAAGCCAGATGGGAAGCCTGAAATCAGCCCGGCTGAGCCCCAGCCTCACCGGGGCCCTCGGGCTGCCCTGGCTTCGCATGATTCAGGTGGGAGGACGCCAGGGGCAGCCCTGCAGGGTGCTGGAGACGATGCCCAATGGATGCCCGGTGCCCCCACCCTGTGGGGTCGCGGGGTGCTGCCCTCCCCTCCTGCCTGCTATGGCTTTGAGCGGGGCTGCCCGGGGCAGGAGCAGATGGCAGCGGCAGCGGGGTGGCCGGGGGGGCTGCGGTGGTGCCAGCTGACGGCCCCCACCACGTCTCCGGGCTGTGTGCCCCCCAGCCCCGCACCGGCCGCAGGAGGGGCTCAGGAGCTCGGCCCTGGGACGCCCCCAGAGCGGGAGCAGGGCCGGCTCCTGCCTGCTCCCTGCTGATGGATGAGCCGAAAGTGCTGGGCTCAGGGCTTCTCCCGGCACTCGCGGGCTAATGGAGTCGGCTGGCAGCGTTTTATGGATCTGATAGAAAGGCCATCAGTTTGCGTGACAGTTTTACTAGGTTGGGAGGAAGCTTTACGGTCTGACTTCCTTTCGCTTAATCTTTCTGCTTTCGTAGCCATCCGTCTCCCTCCTCTCCCCCCCCCTTAACCTGTGCGCACTCGGCGGAGGTGGCTCTGCCCGGGCACGGCTGCTCGGGGACACCCCGCACGCCCGTCCCCGTGTCCCCTCCTTAGGACAAGGAGCATTTCCCTGCGCCCTGTGGCTGCTGGAGCTGGCCCAGTGCCTCGGGAAGGGGTCCCCGGTGACTCAGCCGCTGCGTGCGTCGGTGCCACGCGCAGCTCCGCTGACCCCCGGCCACTCACCAGATGGCCGGGGCCGGAGCATGCCCGAGCCTGCGGCCCTGCCAAGAGCCGAGGCAGCACCGGCACAGGCGGACGGGGGCTCCCCGCGGGCACCCCGCACGACCAGCTGGTCCCTCCTGCTCCATCCTTCCTCCGCCACCACCCGCCTGGGGCAGGGGGAGGCAGGGGGAGGGGGCTGGATGGAAAATATCCCCTTTGAGGCATAGCTGGATGCGGTTTTGGGCTGGGATGGGGGTGCCTGGAATGCTCCGGGGGGGTGAAGAGAGGGGGTACGGGATGAGGGCCCCATTTGGGGGCAGGAACCGGACCCTGCATGGGGAGAGAGGGCGCAGGGGAGCGGGCGCAGGGCTTGACTTGGCACAAGGTGCCCTGCCCTGGCACCTCAGGGCCCCGCGTGGAGCCGCTGCGTCCTGGGGCAGCACGGGGACATTTCCACGGCCTCGGATGGGAGAGGAAATGTGATGTTGGAGCACGGCGGTGGCATCCCCGGGGCATGCCCGGCGCAGGGGGGTTGCAGGGGCCGTTCTCACGCCCCTAACCCCCTCGCGCAGGTACCTCCGCACGCTGTACCTGGGGCTGCAGAGCCGGTGGCAGGCCGAGCACCGCCGGCGCCACTTCTACTGGCGGATGATGTTTGAGAGCGCGGACATCAGCATGCTGCGCCTGCTGGAGACCTTCCTGAAGAGCGCGCCCCAGCTCGTGCTGCAGCTCAGCATCATGGTGCAGCAGAACAGCATCGAGCCGCTGCAAGGTAGGGGCAGCCCCCTCCGACACGGCCCCCACGGCTTGGGGAAAAGGGCTGGAGGAGGCCCGGGGTGCTGCAGACCCCAGCCCCGTGCCCCCTGTGCCGCCCTCCGCCCTGCTCTCACCGCCCTGTCCGCGCTCTGTGCCCGCAGGGCTCTCGGCCTCGGCCTCGCTCGTCTCCCTGGCGTGGATGATCGCCTCCTACCAGAAGGTGCTGCGGGACTCGCGGGAGGACAAGCTGCCCATGTCCTACAAGGGGGCCATCGTGCAGATCCTGTGGCACCTCTTCACCATCGCCGCCCGCGCCATCGCCTTCGCCCTCTTCGCCTCCGTGTTCCAGCTCTACTTCGGCATCTTCATCGTCACCCACTGGTGCATCATGACCTTCTGGATCATCCAGGGCGAGACGGACTTCTGCATGTCCAAGTGGGAGGAGATCATCTACAACATGGTGGTGGGCATCATCTACATCTTCTGCTGGTTCAACGTCAAGGAGGGACGGAGCCGCTACCGCATGTGCATCTACTACATCATCACGCTGTCCGAAAACGCCGCCCTCACCGCCCTCTGGTTCCTCTACTACAACCGCGAGACCACGTCCGACTTCGACGCCTTAATCCTCGTCTGCGTGGTCAGCTCCAGCTTCGCCCTCGGCATCTTCTTCATGTTCATCTACTACTGCCTCTTGCACCCCAACGGCCCCATGTTCGGCCCCCACGCCGGGGGCTGCATTTTCCGGCAGCAGCCGCCACCGGCGCCGGGGTCCCCCGCGGACGCCGTCACCAGCCCCCCGCGCTCGCTGCCGCGGACTACAGGGGGGGAGCGGGAAGGGGCTCCGGGGGACCGGGACAGCTGCGTGCCCGTCTTTCAGGTGCGCCCCTGCGCCCCTACACCGCCGGCCGCCCGCGCCCCTCGGACAGAGGGTCCCGTCATCCGCATAGACCTGCCCAGGAAGAAGTACCCGGCCTGGGACGCCCACTTCATCGACCGGCGCCTTCGGAAAACCATCCTGGCGCTGGAGTACGCCTCCCCCACCACCCCGCGCCTGCAGTACCGCACCGCCGGCGTTTCCCAGGAGCTCCTGGAGTACGAGACCACCGTGTAGGGCGGGCGCGGGGGCCGCCGTGGTGCCCCCCACCACGCTCTCCAGCCGGGCTGTCCCATCTCTTCGCAGCGTTTTGCCTTTCTTTTCGGTTCACCGGCGCCGAGGGGTGACCGCGCCGAGCGCCCCGCAGGCAGGGGCCGGTGAGGTCCCTTGGTGCTATCCCCCCCTCCCCACCTTCCCCACGCCGCCCTCCTGTGACCCCGCTCCTCATCCCACCCGGCTCTGCGCCGGGGGCTTGTCCTTGCCAAAATACCTCACCTGTGCCTGAGCCCCGCAGCGCCCGGCTCCCGGCCGGGCTGGCCAGGTCGGTGGCGCAGGGTGGGGACCTTGGGGCGCCCCAGGGCTCGGGGGTGGTGGGTGCCCCGCTCCGGTGAGGGGCTTTGGGCACGGCGGGGCATGGTGCAGGGGATATGCAGGGGACACACAGTGGGATGGGGCCATGGGGATGCTGGAGAGGGGCTGTACCAGGGTGCGGGGGGCTCCTGTCACCCCCAGGGAGCAGGTGGTGGTGGGGAGCGAGCAGGGGACAGCTGGGGTCTGGCCACCCCCCGATGTCCCCTACTTCCCCGAGCCCCCCAGACCCGGGGGTCTCCCTTCATCTCAGCCCTCGGTTCCCCCCGCTGTGGGCTCTGGCCGTGCCTGCGCCCCAGGAGCCCCCCCCTGCTCCATGTGGGGTGCAGCCCCCAGCCCTGAGCCAGGCCCCCGATGCCAGCCGGGTGCTGGGGGGGGGGGGGTGGCTGCACCCCCGCTGTCCCCTCCCACCCTCCTGGGAACCGCTTCATCGCATCGTGTTTGTTTTCACCTGGTAGGTGACATTTGTGTGACATTTTCTACCTCCGCTGACGCTGGTGGGGCAGGGCCTGGCTGGCACCGGGGGGGTTGGGGGGGGGCATTGCAGGGTGGTGGCATCGCTCCCGGGGGGGCTCCCCAAGGCCGGATTCACCCCCAGTTATTCTCTCCCACCTTTCCCAGCCGGGAGCATTTCCATCCACACCCCCGTCAGCATCAGCCCCCCCCAGCTCCGAGGTGTGAACCGGAGCCAGGATCCTGCCCCCCACCCCCCGGTGCCCCCCCCAGCCCCTGCAGAGGAGCGGGGCTGCCCCGGGCTTTAGCTCTGAATGTGTGCCCTGCTCCTGCGGGGCCGGGCTCCCCGGACCCCTGCCCGAAGGGCTGTGCTGAATGTACCCCCCCGTGCCCCCCCCCGTGTCCGTGTGTCCGTCCTCTGTGTTTGCAGCTGGGTCCGCAGGGCAGAGCTCCCGGCCTCCCCGGGCCGTGCACCGCTCGCAGCAGTGCAGAGCCCCCCGGCACGCACCCACAGCCCCCCCCCCTGTGCCTTCCTCCAGCCCCGGTGCCCCCCCCCAGGTCCCCGAGCTGTGCCCCGAGCTGGCAGCCCTGCCCCAGCCCCGCTGTGCCCCTGTGGCACCCGGGGGTCCCCAAGGCGCTGTGGGGTCCCCAAGGCGCAGTGGGGTCCCCAAGGCGCAGGGGGGTCCCCAAGGCGCTGTGGGGTCCCCAAGGCGCAGGGGGGTGCGCGGTGCCACCGGTGCCCCCCTTGCTTTTTTGTTTCCCATTTCTCCGTAGCTCGGAGGCCCCCGGATGACTGCGGGCTGGGCTGGGCCGGGCTGGGGGTCACTGGTGCTAACTGGTGCTAACTGCAAGCCTCGGAAATCCTTTCGGAGGAGGTCACGGAGCAGCGCTGGGGCTGGGCAGCGGGCTGCCCCCCCCCCCGGGACCCGCACTCCTCCTCTCCCACCAGTAACGGGCAAAAAAATCCCCCCCATCCAGCCGAGCTCCGGTGCCCCCCGTCCATCCAGGCTCTCAGCGGAGGAGGCTTCTGTTATCCTCAGGGAAGCGCTAAGGAAAGATGGGACCCGGGGGGGGGGTTTTTTTGGGGTGCGGGGGCACCCAGGAGCCCCACGGCCCTGGGAGCCCTCGAGCGGTGCCGTGCCGGTTCCTGCACCCCCTGCCCACACCCCCAGGGTTTGGAGCCACGCAGCCTGGGGTGATCTGCACCCCCCCACCCCATGTGCTCATTCCCCGGGGGGGGCGCGGGTCGGAGGGACATTTTTCTATGCACTCAAGCCACGGGCCCCTCAGCCCCGGGCTGCTCCCGTTTGGGGTCAGGGCACGTGGGGCTGGGCCCCCTCCCCACAAACAGCTCCCCCCACCCCATGCTTGCAGCCCCCATGCCCCAAGCCAACGGGGCTGAACAGACAACACTGGGGGGGGGCTGCTGGTGGTGGTGGTGCCATCAGCACCCCCTGGCAAGGGGGCACCAAGGGGGCTTGAGCCGGGGGGTGCTGTGGGGTGGGGGCTGCTCCGGCTCCCTTTTGGGGAAGGGGGGTCCTGGTCCCGGGGGGGGGTGGGCGGCATGGGGCAGGCAGCGGGGCCGCCCCGGGTTCAGGGAATGGGGAGGGGGACGTGGTTCGGACCGGGGCTGAGCTCTGCTGCTCTAGGCCAGGGCTGTTTGCTCCCCGGAGGGGGGGGCTGCTGGGGGCCACGTCCCCACGGTGCTCGGGACCGGGAGCCCGGCTGTCACGTACTGTAAATACTCCGTGTGCCACCTTCCTCTCCGGGACCCTCAGCGCGGGCAGGGCGGCGGGGGGTTGAGGGGGGGGGGGGAGGCGAGCAGGAGACCGGGGTCTGCCCGAGACTTTTTTGTATACCACAAACTTTTTGTATATTTTTAATTTTGCTGCAACATGAGATATTAAATTCATTTCAATAAGCCCTGCCTGCCGGAGCTTTTCTTTGCTGGTGCCCCTCCAGCTCTCCCCAGTCTCCACCGGTGGCTCCGGGCTCTGCGTGGCCGTATTGGTGCTGGGGGGCTCTGCCCAGCCGTATTGGGGTGCTGGGGGGCTCCGTCCTGGGGTGCTGGGGACATCAGGGACGGGGCAGGATGGTTGTGGAGGTCCAAGGGCCCCCGGCAGGGAAGGGGTGCGCGGGCAGGATGCGGTGTGCCGGGGAGGAAACTGCCGGACACGGCCCCAGCCCCAGCTCTCCCAGGCCAAATTCCGCCCTGCTGGAGGCCCTGGTCCCCATCCAGCCCCCAGACCCACGGGGGAGCCTCGAGCCCCATGGGCAGCTGTGGGGTCGGGGGGGTTTAGGGGCTGCTGCGTGGCTCCAGCCGGAGCCTTTTCCCCAGTGGCAGGAGCTGCTCACGTGGGCAGGGCAGGGGCAGCAAGGGGCAGGGAGCCCCCCAGTGAGGCCTATGGGGAGGGGGCTGATGTGGGGCCATGGGGCAGCGAGGGGCTGGGGCTGCTCTGCTGCCTGGTCCCAAGGCACCCCCAGACCCAATTCTGGTCCCAACCCAGTCCTAGCCCTGTCCCAGTACCAGCACCAGTCCCAGTGCCAGTCCCTAGTGCCAGTCTCGTCCCAGTTCCACCGCAGTCCCAGTCCCAGTCTGAGCCCAGTCCCAGTCCCAGTCCCAGTCCCTTCCCAGTCCCGTCCCAGCTCAGCCCAGCCCAGCCCAGCACCCCCGGCGGGGCAGGAACTCACATCAGAGCCGTCCTGGTGGAGTTTCCGACACAGGAAAACAACAAAGGCGTTGGACGGGGAGGACGGCGGCAGCGCCATGGACTGCGAGGCCAAGAGGGGGAAGAAGGTGAGCACATTTTGGGGCTGTGGGGCGGCCAGGAGCAACCCCACAGCGCTCGTGGTGCCTGGGACGAGGGGTGGGAGATGGGGGAGATGGAGGGGGGGGGTCCCCACCTGCTGTCCCCTGGGGCCGAGCCCCCGAGTGGCGCAGATTTTGGTGACCCCAGCCAGGAGGAGCCGTGCGGTGCCGGGGCTGGGTGCCCCCCCACCATGGTGACGTGCCCCCAAACCCCGCTGTCCCTGGCAGGGCTTCGTGTCGCCCATCAAGCGGCTGGTTTTCCCCAAAGCGGCTCGGAAGCCGGCTCTCCGCAGCAGCGTGTACCGGCGGCCGCTGCACTCGGTGCCCCTCTACCCCCCCGACTACCTGATAGACCCCCAGATCCTGCTGCACGACTACGTGGAGAAGGAGGTGAAGGTAACGGGATGGGGGGGCCCCCAGGGACATCAGCAGCCCCATTTGCCATGCGGGAGGCCCCCACCCACAGGGTTCTGGCCCCCTCCTGTCCTGGATAAACCCCCGAGGAGGAGCAGGGGAGCAGGTTGGGGTGGGGGCAGGCTCCCCACCACCCCACCCCAGCGAGGTGCAGGGGGCCGTGGCGGTGGGAGGACACAAAACCCCAACCCCAGTGCCCCCTTAGGGCTGGCCTTCCACCCACAGGGCTCCCCCCTGCCCTCCCCAAAACCCTTTGGGGCTTTGCTCCCCCCCCCAGTTTTTAGGGCACCTGACCTGGGTGACAGCATCCCTGAACCCCTCCAGCCGGGACGAGGTGCTGCAGCTGCTGGACACCGCCAGGGTAAGAGGGCACCCGGCACCCCACGGGGACGTCCCACCAGTGCCACCGGTGTCCCCCCCCCGACCCCAGTACTCGCTCTCTGCCCCACAGCAGCTGAAGGAGCTGCCCCTGCAGACGACGCCGGAGCAGGACAGCATCCTCAGCCTGTCCGCCCGCTGCCTCCTGCTCACCTGGCGCGACGACGAGGAGCTGATCCTGCGCATCCCCACGCACGAGATCGCCGCAGCCTCCTACCTGCGCGACGACGCCCTGCACCTCCTCATCCTCAAAACAGGGTGCGGGCGCCCTGCCGGGGTCCCAGCGCGACGGGGCTGACCCCGAGCACCCCGTGTGTGCCCCCCCCCCAGGGGTGGGAGATGCGCTCCCAGCACCGGCTGCATTTAATGGTGGTGGGAAAGGGTTTTGGAAGTGCCCCCCCCCGTGTGCATCCAGCTGGGGCGCAGGGGCTCCGGTGCTGTGATCCCCAACCCTGGGCTCAGCCACCAGCCTCGGCCTGTGCCCTAATCCCCCTGCTCCCACCCCACCAGCAGCCCCCACCACCCAGCCCCACCGCCCCCAGCTCGCTGGGCCTCCCCTATCCCCCCACCACCCCCAGCCCCTCTGCTTCCCACCCAGACTGGACTCCAGGTCCGAACTGGGAGCCGGGTGCGTTGGGGATCACAGCCCCCACCCTGACACCCTGTCCCCCCCTCGCTGCCCCCAGGCCTGGGAGTGGACCCAGTCCCTGCCGGAGCGCACCCCGAGACGACCCCGGTTGGCGTGCCGGAGGCAGCCCCGGCTGAGAAGCGTCCAGGGGGTGCGTGGCCAGAACCAGGGCGCCTGGGGGGCCCGATGGAGCGGCGGCACACCATCTGCAGCCTGGACTGGCGGGCGGCACGGGGCGGGCAGGAGGGCCGGCAGGGCGGCAGCCTGGAGCGGCGGCGGGGCGGCAGCTGGGAGCGGAGGCAGCGCGGGCGGCCCTCGGGGAGCTGGGAGAGGCGGCAGCCCTGCGGAGGCAGCTGGGAACGGCGCCGAGCCGGCACAACCGGAGGCAGCTGGGAGCGCGGCACCGGTTTCGGCAGCTGGGAGCGGCGGCACGCCGGCAGCAACCCCCTGGACCCCCAGCCCTGCCCCGACGCCTACTCCAACCTCGTCATCCTCGCCGTGCCCAACAGGGTGAGCGGATCCAGCATGCGCCCACCCTTCTGGCATGCGCCCACCCCCCCCGGCACGTGCCCACCCCCCCTGGCATGCGCCCACCCTCTCTTCTTCCCCCCTTCATCCCCTGCAGGATGCCGCCGAGGAGTCCTGCGCGCTCATCTGCCAGGTTTTCCAGATCATTTACGGGGATCAGAGCATCGAGTGCGTGGACCGTGCCGGGTACCACTACACCTCCACGCCCACGCGGCCCTGGCTCTCCAGCAGGAGTGAGTGGCTGGGGGGGGTGCGGGATGCTGAGTGGGATTGCACGGGGCTGGGGGGCTTGGGCACAGTGCGGGGGGGACCTGCCCTGGTTCTCACTGGGCTCTCCCTCCCCAGGTGAGAGCTGCCGCACGGACGGGACGTACGGCTACGATGCTGACTTCAGCTGCTGCAGCTCCTTGTGAGTCCGGCTTCCCCCGGGTGCCCCTGTGCTGGGTGCCCGTCCCAGCTGCAGACCCCCCAGCCCTGCCCGATGGACCTGCTGACCCCCTCCCCGCCCCTCTCCTCCTGCAGCAACGGCTCCGAGACGTTCGAGGCGTATTACAGCGGGGCCTCCTCGCCCTCCTTCCACCAGTCCCACCACAGCCTGGCCACCGCCTGCAGCGGCAGCGACCAGAGCAGCGCGGGGCTGGAGCAGCTGCAGGACTACATGGTGACGGTGAGGATGCCAGGGGGGGGCCCCGCTCCTCTCCAGGTGCCGGGGAGCAGCCGGACGGGTGCGGGGTGATGGGGTCGGGGCCGTGCACTGCTCCTACCCCCGAGTTGTCCCCGTGTCCCCGCAGCTGCGCAACAAGCTGTCACCCCAGGAGATCCAGCAGTTCGCCCTGATGCTCCGCGAGTACCGGCTGGGCACGCCGGTGCAGGAGTACTGCGCCGACCTCCTGCGCCTCTACGGGGACCGGAGGAAGTTTCTGCTCCTGGGTGAGTGCAGGGGTGCCCACCCCCCAGCTGTTGGGGTGTCCGAGAAGCCCCAGCGATGGGTCACTGCGTCATGTTGGCCATGTCCGGGTGTCGTTTTGGGGATGGGGAGCTGGTCCTGGGTGTGTACTGGGGGGTGTTGGCACCCCCCGGGCACGGTCACCCCGAGCCTCACGGCGCCTGCTGCAGGAATGAGGCCCTTCATCCCCGACCAAGACATCGGGTACTTCGAGACCTTCCTGGAGAGCATCGGCATCCGCGAGGGCGGCATCCTCACCGACAGCTTCGGCCGCATCAAGCGCAGCATGAGCAACACCTCGGCCTCGGCCGTGCGGAGCTACGACAGCTGGTCCCTGCGCTCCGAGTCCGAGTCCTTCAACCGCAGGATCACCGACATCACCCACGACATCGAGGCGCTGGCGCGGGACGAAGAGGAGGAGGAGGAGGAGGAAGAGGACAACTATCTGTGAGGGGCTGCTGAAGCCCCACGCCTGGCATTGTCCCCACTTTGTCCCCCCACGGGAGGGGACGAGGCTCCGCGCTGCCCTGCCAGCAGCCCCCCGTGCTGTAATTTTTGCAGATCGCAATTAAACGCCCAGGATGGGAGCAGTCACCGTCCCGCTGTCCCGGGGCAGCACCTCTGGGGGCCCCCCCGGCAGGACCGGGATGGGTCAGGGGGGAAAAGGGCCAGCAGCAGGGGCCGTGCTGCCCGCAGAGCTGTCCCCAAAAAGCGCTGTGCCCAAATCCTGGACGGCGGGGACAGCTCGGTGCCCCCGGCTGCCGTCGCCCCCAGCCCACTCGGGGGCGCTCGGGGTGCCGGAGCCCAGCAGGGACCGTGTCCCGGGGACACCGGGGACACCACCGGGGCCGGGAGAGGAGCGGCACGGCCCGGGGGGGCGCACCGGGTGTCCCCGTCCCCGCTCCACGGGGGCGCAGAGCGGGGGTCGCGCTCCGGCCTGCCTGCACCCGGGAGGGGCGGGGGCGTTACCGGGAGGGGCGGGGGCGTTACCGGGAGGGGCGGAGGCGTTACCGGGAGGGGCGGGGCCTCGACGGGGCGGGGAGCGGCGCGCACCCGAGCTGAGCGCGGCGGTGGCAGCCCCGGCACCGGGAGCGGGACCGGGAACGGGAGCGGGACCGGGAGTGGGACGGGGCCCGGGACGTGCCCCGGGACGGTGGGCGAGGTGAGAGCGGAGCCCCGGGGGGGGGTTGGCGAGGGCGCACGGAGCTCCCGGGACCG